AAAAGATCTGTATCAAACTTAAATATTTTCATGTTATTCTTCCCTCTTGATTTTGTAAAAATGTCTGCTTGGAAGACACAGTACCCTCAATCCCTCTGCCTTGCCCCCTCTCTCCCTCTTTTCAAGTCCTGCCTGAAAACCTTCCACTTTGAACGTGCTTACGATTACCTCCCCCCGGCTCGGAGTCAGGCTCCGCCACTGTTAAGCGCTCTGACATGCTACCCTGTGTGGAGCACGTTATATAAGTGCAAGTTGTTGTTGTACAAATTCTGCTGAATTACCATTGCATCCACAGTGCTCTGCAATGTTCCTGTTGTCCTCTCCAATACCAGGAATAACCTGAACATTATTGTTCAATATACTTAGTGATGTGTATGCAGGCAAAAGAAGGCAGCTAAATATTGTCTTAAAGTAGAATCACTAACATTAGGGAGGGGAGATTAAATGAAACCACACTGTGAATCCACAGTGTGAATGAGCATCAGAACAAGGCAGGTTAATACAGCACTTTGGGTATCGTCCTTTACCAGAATGTGATGCAATGGTGCATTACACAGGCTCTGCTGAAGAACATGTTAACATGTGTTGCTCTTTCAAATGCTGAGGTGGTGTGAAATTCCAATATATAATTTTGTTACTTTTTATTACATCACTCATTTCTTGCCCTGTTTATGTTTTAAGCACTACAAGATGCTACCTTGTGTAAAGGGGATTATATGAATGCAAGTTGTTTGTTTTATTAGCCAAGCTCTCAACCTCTGCTTAACCAATACTAACAGGGTGACGGTACCCATTTTATATGGTCGGTTCTTGTTGAGGGGGATGGGGTTACATTATATCCTTGGGCAGGCTGTAAATCCATAATCTGAAATGAAAATCTTAAGTCAAGTTTTTAGATGACCTTATGCTTTTGAATGTTTTTTGTTGGGTAATGTTCAATATTGTTTGTTTTATTGTAGGCCTGTCTGGTAGGTATTGTGGTGCCTGATCCTGAAACATTTTCTGAATGGGCACAAAAGACAGGAGTTAGAGGAGCATATGAGGAATTGTGCAAAAATCAGGTGAGACCACATCGTTGTGTAAAATTGCAGTTTGTCATCCAGCTGATTATTACCCTTCTGAAGTTTTAGAAGCAGTATTTTCAGGAGTATATTGCAACTTTTTAATATTGTTGTAGGTTTAAACATTAGTAAAACTAAACTATCACATAAGTCTGAGCCATAATTCTGCGAACATTGGGTCTCTCCATACCATCTGTTCACCTCTGGATCTTTCAAAGTTGTTTGAAGGAAATTCCCAAATCTTTGCTGCAGTTTGATCTCCTAGTTTTAACAACATCTGACTTGCTGGCAGTAGCAGCACTACGATCGTACTGAAACAGTATAAATGTAGATGGTGCAAAAAAAAATCATTTGCGGCTCCATTCCCCACTTGGAAAGCCCAGTAAGTATTAAGGGAGCTTTTTTAAATAAAGAGAGACACTTAGCCAGTTGTCTGTACTTTTTTTGTTCTGCAGAATAAACGCCATGTAGATGTCCTTTGAAATTAAAACAAGACTTGCCTGAAATATTGTACAATCTACATCAGTTCATTTCCGTTAAGCAACTAGTTCATAAATTAAATGATTCTCCAGAAATACTAACCCTTTTTGTTCACTTATTTTTTTTAAAAAAATCAACTTTTCTTCCTTGTAGAAAGTTAAACAAGCTGTTTTAGAAGACATGGTGGCTCTTGGAAAGGAATCTGGACTCAAGTCGTTTGAACAAGTGAGTGTTTCTGGTTTTAGATTTATAGCATGTAACATCTATTAATTGATTCAAAGTAGTTTACTTCTTTCTTGGGACGTCCTCCCGACGTAAAAGGAGCTCTATAAATGGAATCTTGTTGTCGTTGTTGTTGTTTCTTAACATTATATCATTTGTCAGTTTTTGCATTATTGGTAACATTGTTGGCTGAGTTTTGGGTTCAAATCCACATCGGGACTTTGAGCTTACAGTCTGGGCTGACATTTCATGAAAACTTCTAGGGGAGATCCTGTGTTGTTTAAGGTGCCGTCCTTTTATTGAAAATTTAAGACAGTATCTTTACTGTCTGCTTATTCAGGTAGGTGAAAAAGATTCCATGATGCTATTTGAAGAAAATAAATTTCTCCTGGTGTCTTGGCTGATAATCCTCCAGAAAAATTGGTCATTCACTTCATGGTTGTGGGACATTGCTGTGCACAAATTGGCTGTCACATTTGCCCACAAAAAGCAGAGACTCCCTACTGTACAGTATATCCTGTAAAGCGCTTTGGGATATCCTAATGTGACAGATGCTATGCCAAATGTAAGGATTGATTGATTTATTGTTGTCATTTACTTAATTTCATGAGTCCTGGACAGATACTGGACAAAGTATCTGTCTCGCTACCGTAATTGAGATTTCAATGCATCAGAAGATGTGGATTATGGTATAAATAAGAAGGAAACTAAAGGCTGCAAGAGATTATGACTGCCTCAAAAGCTAAAATCAGCTTTTTCATGCAGCAGCACAAGAACTATCCATGATCTTCTGTTCTAATTCTTCTGTTTGGACTTAGTTCAAGTCCAGTGCATCTGTACCCAAAAAACTAACGCCTACAACAAATCCTGGACTCCATCTCTGATAATCTTTGTTTCTTACCTTCTAAAGGTGAAGGATATCGTTCTCCATCCTGAGATGTTAACTGTTCAAAGTGGCCTTCTGACTCCAACATTCAAGGCAAAGAGAGCAGAACTAAGGAAATACTTCCGTTCACAACTTGACGAACTTTATGCAAACATCAAAATGTAAACTGTAAAGAAAATGAACCTTTTTTTAAGCAAACCTAATTATTGGCCTTGATGATTCAAAAATTGATAAAACTCTTAACAGATACTTTGCAATGACCCCCTAGCAGATTACGTATTCGTATTTTGTATTATGAGCCAAAAATTTCAGAGCAGGTCACTGTTCAATGGTGTTGATTTCCAAAATGCCTTATTTTAAACATCCATCTCTAATAGGGAGACTGGCATAGGGAAACTTGGAATGGAAGCACAAATGAAAGCTGCACTTAGGTGAAAGTATGTACAGTTGTCATAAATGCACTATTGTAACATTCTTTTTATACTTGTGTATGCCGCACCTGTTGCACAAATGTCCTGAGGTGAAATGAAGAAAACACTGAAAGCTTTAACAAGATTACATATTTAATTTATATCACCCTAAGAATGATATTAAATGGTTGCTTAAATAAAACGCTTGGCAGTGTAAATGTTTTGTACACAAGAACCAAGAGATCTACAAACTGGTTGGCAAAACTAAATAAAAGTATGTTTTGTGTATTTCATTGTGATCACTGCAGTAATTGGGATATACCTATGCACAAATTGAGATGTCCTACCCAACATCAATCAAGATATTAAATACGAAAAAAAATTCAGTTCTATGTATTGTTCACACATACACTGAGCTGAAATGTATACATACATGTACACATACACTCACTTGCTCTCTCGACCCCATCCCTACCCCTCTCCTTACCTCCCAGTTCCACCTCCCCTACTCAAAGACATCATAAACCTCTCCCTATCTACTGGCACCATCCCATCCCTTTAAAAATGTCCGTAATTACTCCTATCCTTAAAAAACCCTCCCTGGACCCATCTTGCTCTCAAATTACCACCCCATCAACAACCTCCTTTTCCTTTCCAAGGTCCTGGAACAAGTTGTTGCTTCGCTCCTCCCTCTCCCTTCACCAACCCCTCCAATCGGGTTTCCGTGTCACCCACATCATAGAATCAGCTTTCGTCAAAGTGACAAAAGACATTTTGTCCCATCTACGACCAGGACTCTCTCTGCTTCCTCGTCCTCTGTGACATTTTGGGGTGGGGCGGGGGAACTGCTGATGTCATAGTTTCAGGAGTGTGCGCTCGCAAAAGAAAAAACCTCTGCGCTCCCCCCCCCCCCACCCCCCGGGGCTCGCATCAGGGCCCACCATGGCCCTGTTGGATTTGCTGCCCCAGCCTATGGGCCAATGCCATCCACCTGACTGCTCACTCCCGGTCCCCGCGTGCGCATTATGGCTGCCGCTCTGACCCCAAACCCTCTCCCCTCTGCATCTCTCCCGCTCTGTCCTCTCTCTCCGTCCCTCTCGCCTTCTATCCCCACTTGACCCTCCCACAACCTCCCTCTGCTCCAGCCTGGGAATCCTACGCCGGGCTCACCGTGGTGCTCGGCGTTGGCTGTCCAGCAGCAGCCACACCGACTGCCCCATTCCCCACCACACTTGCCAGCCAACCCGGACACAGACCCGGGGAGCCAACCCCTCATTCCCATTCCTCCCACCCCTGCCTCACAACCTGGACCCCCCCTCCCTACACACCCTTCTGTCAACCGCTCCCTCCACATTGGACTACAAAACTCTCCTCTCACCTCAACCTTCACGGCTCTGTCCTTGAATGGTTCAGATCCTATCTCACACTATCTCCGCTTCATCTACACAAACAGTTTCTCCTTTAGCCCCCACATCGTCTCGTGTGGCATTCCTCAGGGCTCTGTCCTTGGTCCCCTCCTCTTCAATATCTTTATGCTCCCTCTTGGTGACTTCATCCGCAGACATGGGATCAACTTCCACATGTATGCGGATGATACCCAACTCTATCTCTCTGCCTCCTGTATTCCAGGACCACTGCTGTCTTGATAGAATGTCTGTCAGACATCAAGGATGAGAACTAACTTTCCACAGCTCAATGTCAACAAGACTGAGGTTCTCCTGATTGGCTCCTATTAGCGTCTCCACATCTCAGTCACTGACAGCATCACCGTCCAAGGAACCACACGCCACCTTACTAAGCCACTACAGAACCTTGATGTCTTGTTTGACCCTCAACTGTCCTTTCTACCCCATATCTGTGCCACGATCCACTCCGCCTAACCCCCACCGCTGCAACATTGTCCGGCTCCGCCAGTATCTCTCACCGCAGGCCGCCGATACCCTCATGCAGACATTCATAACATCCAGCCTCGACTACGCAAACTGTCGGCCTCCCTAACTTCCTCCCTCCATTGGCTGCAGATCATCCAGAACTCTGCAGCCTGTGTCCTCTCCCGCACCAGGCTCCGCAACCCTATCACCCCCATCCTTACCCAACTCCATTGGTTTCCCATCACACAGAGGATACAGTTCAAGCCCTCCACCCTCCCCGATCCCAACCATCAGCTCAGGTCCGAAATATTGACTGTCCAGCACCTTGGGACGTCCTCCTGATGTGAAAGGCGTTATACAAATATAATTTTGTTGTTGGATTATAAAGTTGTGGGATGAACAACAATAAATAATAATCCTTGCATTGATATAGTGCCTTATCATGTCTTTGAGATGTCTCAAAGCGCTTTACAGAATATAGTGTAAAGTAAATTAACTATTTTGTGGGCGAAATATTCAAGCCCCACATCGAGGTGGCACTCTGCTGAGCTGACATTCCAGTGCAGTATAGAGGGTGTACTACACTGGTGGAGGTGCCGTCCATTAGATGAGATGTTAAATCGGGGCCCTGTCTGCCCATTCAGGTGTATGGTTGCTAAACATCCCTTAACATTATTTGAAAAGAAGAGTTTCTTACAGTGTCCTAGCAGCAATCCCTAAAATAAAACTGGTCATTCACTTTGTGAATGTTTATGGAACATTGCTGTGCACCAATTCACAGTTGCATTCACCCACAGAAGAGTTACTACTTTACAGCATATTCTGTGAAATGCTTTGAGAAGACCTCCTCACGTGAAAAGCACTGTACCAAATGTAAAGATTTTTTATTATTACAGTACTTTAGAGTAAATCCTGTAAAGCACTTTGCAAAGTCTCCATGATGTGATAATGCACTGTATGAAATGCAAAGATTATTTTATTATTAAGTGAATGACTTTTGTTTAATTTGGAGGATTGTTGCCCAGGACATAAGGAGAAACTCTCATCACTTTTTGAATAGTACTGTGGGATTGTTAATGTCCATGTTAGCATCTCATCCAAAGGATGGCACCTGACAATGCAACGTTAATAATAATAATAATCCTTGCATTTGATATAGCGCTCTTCACGTCGGGAGGACGTCCCAAAGTGCTTCACAGAACACACTGTAAAGTGAATTGACTGTATATTTGTGGGCGAACGCGGCAGCCAATTGTGCACAGCAATGTCCCACAAACAGTCGTAGATTGAAAATGACCAATTTATTATTGCTTTTGGTTTTGGAGGGATTATTAGTAATGTTCCCTTAGTAATGCACTGGAGCAAGTCCCAGCAATTTTTTGGGGGTCAACCGGGTGTCTTGACACATGCAGAAACCCATCACCGTGCTTAAGAGTATCCAAACGAAGCTGAGAACTCCATGCGTCCCACCTACACATGGAAATCCCAGCGATAGGTTGTTGGAATGGAATCCGCACTCTCTCCCTGGAATTCTGGAAAGTATTCGGCACAGGCTGACAACAACAGGTTCCCAAATCTATTACCTTGGAGCCAGTCCAGCTCCAAGAAGCCCCAGCTTCCCTCCCCTCCCCTCCCAGCCGGATAATCGCTAGTTATTCAGTTGACGCGCAAGCCCACAAAACACACAGTCACCACACTTCACAGTGTATTCCGTGAAGCGATTGGAGACGCCTCAAGGACGTGGTGAGGGGCCACGTCAAATGCAGAGACGCTATTATTAACACCATCGTGTTTTAATTGAATGGAATCTTGTTGTTGTTGTTGTTGTTGTTGCTCTCCGGGTGTCCTGCTCCTCCTCCTGATGACGTCACTTGAGCACTGCCTGGTCTGGGCTGCTCCTGTCTGCGCTGCTCAGGGACCTGAAGCCTCCGGCCGGCAGGTGGCGCCAGGTCGCTGGGCAGGTCACCCCCACCGCCCCCCCCTCCCTCCCCCCCACTCCCGCGAAGGAATGTTCCAACTGGGTCGAGGCTGCGGGGGGAGGCGGAAGCCGGTGAGGTCAGAAACCTGTCCACACAAAGCTGAATTGTATCTCATTTCGGTGAAACACCGCGTAATACACAATGAGGGCACTTACATTGGTGTTAGAGGGAGGAATATATTGTATTGTACATGTGACATTCTTATGTGTGTCCCTCACTCCCCCCTCCCGCCCCCCCCTCAAGCCCCGCCCCCTCGAGGCGGTATCCGGTCACTGACGGTTTGTAAAAGTGTTTCAGCGGGAAAACAGCGACTGAGAGACAGCGAACAGCGGCCACCCAGGTGCCGTACACCACCGTCACTACACCACCCTCACTACACCGCCACCCAGGTGCCGTACACCACCGTCACTACACCGCCACCCAGGTGCCGTACACCACCGTCACTACACCGCCACCCAGGTGCCGTACACCACCCTCACTACACCGCCACCCAGGTGCCGTACACCACCGTCACTACACCGCCACCCAGGTGCCGTACACCACCCTCACTACACCGCCACCCAGGTGCCGTACACCACCCTCACTACACCGCCACCCAGGTGCCGTACACCACCACAACAACTGCCGCCAACACAACATGACACGTCTAAAGCGCTTCACATCAGGACCAGCGCCGTGGGGGAGGGAAGTAGGGGCGAAGAGGAGGGTCTTGAGATGGGTCTTGAAGGAGGTGAGGGAGGGGACGAGGCGGAGGGACTGCAGAGTGGAGGTCCCGAGGGTGGGGGCGGAGTGGCAGAGAAGGCCCCACTGCCAATGGTGAGCGGGTGAGGCGGGGGACGTGAAGCAGCCGGAGCCCACTGAGCGGAGGGAGCGAGCGGGATGGTAGGGGGTTAGGAGGTCGCAGAGGTAGGGGGGAGCGAGACCGCGGAGGGCTTCAAAAGTGAGGACGAGGATCTTGAACTGTGTGATGTTGGGCGAGGATGGGGGTGATAGGGTCAGGGAGCCTGGTGAGGGAGAGGACATGGGCCACAGATTTCTGGATGACCCGCAGCCTGTGGAGGGAGGAGGTGGGGAGGCTGACGAGCCGGGGTTTGCGTAGTCATCGAGGGTTCCCGCAGCCTGGGGGGCGAGGCGGTGGCGGAGCCGGGCAACGTTGCAAAGCTGGGAGTCGCAGAGGTAGGAAGGAGCAAGTCCATGGAGGGCTTTAATGGTGAGGTGAGGTCGAGGATGTTGAACTTGATCCTCCGCGGCACGGGGAGCCCGTGAAGCCGGGCGAGGAGGCGCAAGCACCCGCAGAGAGTGAGATACACACACACAAGTACAGAGAGACGCACAGACAGATAATATACACACAGACCGACAGAGAGGTAAAGAGAGTGAGATGCACACACACAAGTACAGAGAGACGCACAGACAGATAATATACACACAGACCGACAGAGAGGTAAAGAGAGTGAGATGCACACACAGAGGTATATAAACATACAGAGAGAGAGAGAGAGAGAGAGAAACCCCCACAGGGTTGAGAGAGCGATACGCACACAAAGAGTGATTGATGCGTGTATATATGCACACACAAGACAGGTACAGAGAATTATATACACATACAGAGGCAGAGACACCAAGTGATACACGGAGTCATAGACAATACAATTTATATAATGCCTTTCACATTAGAAGGACTTCCCTGAGTGCATTCTCAGTGCTGTCTCGGCACCCGAGCTGTGAGTGGGAGCCGAGGAGAGGAATGCTAACTGAAACAAAGTGATACATAAGCACAGAGTGATATATACACACATATAGATACAGAATGTAACGTAGAGACGGATATTGAGTGCAATAAAATTTTAATTCATTGCGAATGATATTTTTTGGGGGATTTGTAGACAAACAACGGACACAAAACCTTTGACAAAAGCAGTGATGGAAAAAAACAAAAATGCTTCTCGTGGAACTATCAGAAGATCGACAGTTCAGGTACACCAGGACAGAGATGGTGATATGCTTGTGATCGGATCCCAGATATCCTTTAAAGTTGTGGTATGAGTATTCTTTGCTAAGGATAATATCTGAGAAATAAATATTCCATTCTACAAATTAGTCAGATATAGTCAAATGAATTTTGATGCTGAATTAATTGAAGGGAAAATAAAGTCTAGATGGAGCTCCATTGTTGTGTACCCACATTGACTGGCATGTACAGCTGGTCGGTTCCACTCATGAGCCATAAAACTGCTCATCGTTCCTCTTTATAGCGCAGGTTGGGACTTTATGAATAGGTAAACAGGGCTCTAATGTATAATGTACATGTGGTATGCAAGTCATGTAGATCAAGATGTGGTAAATGTTAAAATGGTAAAACATTCAGAAAGTCAAAGAAAAGATGTGCTGGAACAGTAGAAATTTATGGCTAAACATTTTTCTTCTTTAGCCTGCTGAAAGACCGAGGTCCAAGCAAGCTGGCAGAAATCCCCAAAATAGAAATCTTACTGTCTCCCACAAAAGTAAGATAAATTCAACAAGCCTCAAGCAAGTACTACCACAATTTTCTCCAAATCTCTCCAACATTTTAAGACATCCAGAAAGCCAAGAAGATGTTCCAGAGGATTATTTTGGTAATACCAGGGTGATGTTCAGCTTTATCATTTGTAGAGATATACAAACTCAGATGTTTAAAAATATCAAGTGCTCTCACAGGATTTGCCATCCTTTGAATGAAACTTCAGTTTTAAGTGTTACTCTGGCTCAGTCGGTAGTCATGAATCAAAGGTTGTGGGTTCAAGTCTCCATGTCTGCTGACACTTCCAGTACAATGCATTGTTTGTGGTGCGGTCCTTCAGAGGAGACATTAGATTGAGATCCTGTCGGTCTGTTTAGGCAGATGTTAAAGATTCCATGGCACTGTTCAAAAAGTGTTTCCCACTGTCCTGCCCAACAATCTTCCCAGATAGAATTGGTCATTCACTTCATAGCTCTTTATGGGAATTGAATGTGCTAAAATTGGCTACAAACATAGTCACTACATTGTACAATATATCCTGTGAATTGCTTTGAGACTTTTTGATGTGATGAGGCGCAATAACAAATGCAATTCAATTGTTGTAAAACACAATTCTGATATTTCATTTCAAATATTTGGAATTTATAACAATAATAATATATTAAGAATAATATAAACTCATAATAATGCATGATAATAATCCCTCAAGAAAATAAATAAAATAATAATTAGTGACTCAGTCCACAACTGTTTGTGGGACATTGCTGTGCGCAATTGACTGCCATTTTTCGCCCACAAATATACAGTTAATTCACTTTACAGAATAATCTGTGAAGCGCTTTGAGACGTGGAGAAGACATGAGAAGCGCTATATCAAATGCAAGGATTATTATATCATAATCTTTGCATTTGGTATAGCGCCTTATCACATCATAAAGGCATCTCAAAACGCTTCACAGAATATACTGTAAAGTGGATTGACTATTATTTGGGCAAATAGGAAAAGCTAAATAGGCTTTGGTCATTAAAAGTATTAAATCATTTCTACCCTTATTCGTCTTATTTTATAGCTTACCCTTTGCACAGCACTGCGATATTTTCTGGTGAATCGGATCCCAATGATGAGGACAGTGAAGTGGAGATAGCACGGCCTGCAACGCGTGATAAGAAACAAAGAAAGCCAATGCAGAGAGGAATTCCACAGAGAAAAGAATTTAAGCCTAAATCATGGTAAAACTAAAATAAGATTGTATGTGTGTTTAAGAGAGTGTTTGAATACTTTAATTTTCTTTTAAATCCTGTAAAGACTGTAGAGTCTTGTAGCATAGTGGTTAGAGCACTCATCCCAGAAGCGAGAGGATCCGGGTTTGAATCCCAGGCAGGCCGAAGCGTTAGGTAAATTTCCTTACTCCACATGCCTCTGTTTACCCAGCAGTAAGTAGGAACATGGTTGTTAGTCGATTGGTGGATTGCCTTTCCGGAGGTAGTAATCACTTAAAAAAAATTAAATAATAATTTGGTTACTTAATCCACAGCTGTTTGTGGCACACTGCTGGGCGCAAATGGCTGCTGCATTTTGCCCACATAATATACAGTCAATTCACTTTACAGTATATTCTATGAAGCGCTTTGAGACGTCTCAAAGACATGATAAGGCGCGATATCAAATGCAGGGATTATTATAGTTACTTTGCATGAGGCAGGTTGTGTTCTGAAGATGAAGAGATGAGTATGCAGTCTTAATCCTCAGTACATGATTGGTTTTAAGCCTTTCTGCTCCAGCTCTCTATCTCCATCCCGGAGTCCCTTTGCCTTCCTCCCCCTCTCCCCCTTCAAGGTCTGTCTCAAGACTACGTTTGGTCAACTTCCCACCCCCTGGACCCCTTGGTCCCCACCCTTGCAAATCCAACCCCCAGCTCAGGTGGAAACCCTTGACTGTCCTACATTTTGAGACAACTTACCAATGTAAAAGGCACTATACGAATGCAACCCCAAATAATTGACAGTCAATCCCTTTGGTGACTGAGGGATTTGGCTTAGTCCTGTGAATCGCTTTGAGATGTCTCCATAGCGTGATATATCAAATCCAAGGATTTTTATTATTATAATTTGTTTGTTGTAAATTTAATGGGTTTTCAATATTTTTTAAGGAAATAAAAATAATATTGTCGAGCTTCCATAATGTTAAGCTGCCTACTGTTATAAACCGCATAATGTTATCCTGACCACGGGTACCAGACATCCTTGGTATGTTTTGTACACATTTGAGTTTGCGTATTGTTATAGCAATTATTATTATTATAATTCGTCTAATGTAAAAAGATAAAATAACTGATTTTATTTTTTTAAAAAAACATTACAGTGAAATTAAAGTAAAATATTGGATTTTTTAAACTTTTTTTCTTATCCTTGAAATTCTAAATTTATTCAGAAGTATTTGCAACTGTTTATAAGGGAAGTTCTCCTATTGTTATAGTACGCATAATGTAATGATTTTGGTCCGACAGATATAACATTTGGCAGACTCGTCTATGTATATTACCCGCAACCTCTAAAGAACGAGAAAGGAAGCATTTCTGCTCTTTTTTAAAAAAAAATACTCGTACGTTTTTTGTTTTCATTCTCCTATTTTCTTTTCATTTTCGGTCTCTGCTATTTGATGAGAGTGAGCATGCTGCATTATTGATCAAAGCCACGTAAGGTACATAAGAGTGCTATGGGGTGATCATCCATGAATTTTACTTCCTCAGCATGGGCCTGTCATGTTTCCTGATGACATGTTAATTGGGGCCAGTAAACTGACCTCACTGAATCCTACAATGGCAACATTGCACTTTGTACTGTGATGTTTTAAAACAAAATCCTTGCATTTGATCGTGCTTTTCATGTTGGGAGGACATCTCAAAGTGCTTCAGGATATATTGCATACTCTTTGGCTCTTGCCAACCTGCACCTAATGCTCTTCGGAATAACGTAAGCAGAGCGTGTCCCTCTGGGGAGAGAGTGCACATTCAATTCCATGCATGTGAATTTCCATGTGGCGGTAGCATGCTTGGTAATCTCAGTCTTGTTTGGATACTCTTGACTGTGGTGATGTGTTTCTGGATGTGTCGGTCAACCGAATGGCCAAAACAAGAATAATAATCCTTAAACTTGATAAAGCACCTCAACATCTCAAAGAATTTTACTATAAATTGTGATGGTTGTGTATTCAAGCGTGGCAGTCAATTTTGCTCACAGAAATCTCCCACAAATTACTATGAAGTAAATAACCAATTTTTTTTTATCTAGTTCTTTTAACCGCATATCTGAAAGCATGGAAATGGAGGAGAGTGAAGTGAAAACAGGAAATACTGAAGATGTGGAGAGTGAAATAAAAACAGAAAATACTCAATATGTGGAGAGTGAAGAGAACACAGGAAATACTGAAGATGTGGAGAGTGAAATAAAAACAGAAAATACTCAATATGTGGAGAGTGAAGTGAACACAGGAAATACAAAAGATGTGGATACTGAAGATGTGGAGAGTGAAGTAAACACAGGAAATACTGAAGATGTGGAGAGTGAAATAAACACAGGAAATACTGAATATGTCGAGAGTGAAGTGAACACAGGAAATACTAAAGATGTGGATACTGAAGATGTGGAGAGTGAAGTAAACACAGGAAATACTGAAGATGTGGAGAGTGAAATAAACACAGGAAATACTGAATATGTCGAGAGTGAAGTGAACACAGGAAATACTAAAGATGTGGATACTGAAGATGTGGAGAGTGAAGTAAACACAGGAAATACTGAAGATGTGGAGAGTGAAATAAACACAGGAAATACTGAATATGTCGATAGTGAAGTGAACACAGGAAATACTAAAGATGTGGATACTGAAGATGTGGAAAGTGAAGTAAACACAGGAAATACTGACGATGTGGAGAGTGAAATAAACACAGGAAATACTGAATATGTCGAGAGTGAAGTGAACACAGGAAATACTAAAGATGTGGATACTGAAGACGTGGAGAGTGAAATAAACACAGGAAATACTGAAGACGTGGAGAGTGAAATAAACACAGGAAATACTGAAGATATGGAAAGTGAAATGAACACAGGAAATACTAAAGATGTGGAGAGTGAAATGAACACAGGAAATACTAAAGATGTGGATACTGAAGATGTGGAGAGTGAAATAAACACAGGAAATACTGAAGATGTGGAGAGTGAAATAAACACAAATACTGAAGATGTGGAGAGTGAAATAAACACAAATACTGAAGATGTGGATACTGAAGATATGGAGAGTGAAATAGACACAGGAAATACTGAAGGTGTATTTTTGAATGAGAAAACCAAAGATGGTGCCAAAAAGGTATTTTGTCTAATTTAAGCATGGTGGAATTTATAATTCCTTATACCTCTTCATTTCCACTCAGTGTTTATTGGTGGTAGTAAGTCTATTGGTTTAATTGGAAGGGGCCCGACAATTGGTAAGACCAGAATATTGGGGACGATATGGTGTTGGTAATGTTACTGCAGTATAATTTTACAGTTGCTAATCTTAATTAAACAAAACTTTCAAAATTGATCTAGCACCAGAAAACTAGTGGTTCTGCTGCCAGATTGAGGCTGAAAACTCAGCTGGTTCACTATGTACTTCAGGGAATGAAATCTGCCATCTTTATCCGGTCTGGCCAAAATGTAACTCCAGTCCCATAGTTTGTAGCTGACTCTTAGCATCAGCTGAAATGGCCTACCAAGCCACTTAGTTAAGAGAAGATCCACGATCACCTTCTCGGGGCAACCATGGATGGACAGCATCACGCACATCCCCCAATGAAAAAATAATAATTTGGTCACTCAGTCCACACCGTTTGTGGGACACTGCTGTGCACAATTGGCTGCCGCGTTTTGCCCACAAAATATACAGACAATTCGCTTTACAGTATATTCTGTGAAGTGCTTTGAGATGTCTCGAAGACGTGATAAGGCGCTATATCAAATGCAAGGATTATTATTATTAAGCAAAAACATTGCTCCCATTTATGAAACTGTATTGACGGTAGAGTTGAAATGCTGAAATCAGAGGGGTCAGATGGGTCAAAGGGCCTTCTTCATTTGATTTTCTTACGATCTCATATCTAGAGGGCTTCCCCCTGTAGTCATGTAAGCTCATCTTCCTGTGAATACCAAAGTGGGTACAATGGGATGTACTTACTGTCTTTATAAACTGATGTCCGATTGTATTGTATTTATTTTCTTGATTACATCAAACCCCATTACAATAAGATGTTTCAGATCCATAAAGCCGAACAGTGGATTATAATGGGGTGTCACAAACTCTGCCCCGAGCGTGGACAAGTTCTACTCAACTGTCTTGCTCAGCTCGGGCACCGCAAGGACCATATTAACACTACAGGTGGTGACCTCCTACCTTGTTTTTCCCACTCTCCCTTGTTTTGAGAACTCTCCACTCAGACTCCACACCCGCACCCCCCATAGAAACACTAAAAAACAGAAGTGTGAAAGACACAATAGACAGGACATTGATAAAGATTGGTGATGATTGCTGGAGTGTAATACCTGGGGCTTTGATCACTTTCATTGGAGTTTTTGTCTTTGACGACAATGCTGGTTTCTCCCATCTTCCTCTGATCAGACAGACAGGTCAGGTCACTCTTCTGTGGGGAAGTTCAATCTGAGTTGTTAATTGGTGTTTGATGTGCCACTGAAACCGATACTGCGATTTTCCCTTTGGAAACTTGTGAATGCTCAGTGATACCCCCATGTTATCTCAATGAAAAGAAAAATGACTTTTTCTACACAGGACAAAAAGCCAAAATAGCCACCGCTACATCACGTCCTGCATAACTGAACAAAGCTCTGGATGGTAGGGTGGTCTTAGCTGGACAAGTTATGAGAATAAGAAGCTTGCCAGTCTGTGTTTGTCATGGTGATCACAGAATAGTAAACATCTGCACCAGATTCCCATCACTGATTTCCTAATGTCAGCTATACAGTACAATACATCTTACATTTATATAGTGCCTTTCATATCAGGAGGGCTTCTCAAAGTGCTTAACAATGCTGGATGCGCACCCCTCTGGGAATGGGGGTGAGAGCTGATGGGGTGGGAGGGGAAAGATGACCCAAAGAGAGGTCAAAGAGCTGTTCTGTCACAGGAGGAGTTTTGGAAAATTACCCTGCAGCATTCCCGCTTGTAAGATTCCAGTTATTAAACTTTGAATGATGCTGCCAGATTAAACAAACAATCTTTTCACAGGCATCAGGAGTGAGAAACAAATTGAAAACAGTGCCCAGTTCACAGTTCAATAGAGCCTCCAAACAGTTGAAGAACGTTCAGTCACGGACAGGTGCAGCAAAGAAACCTAGGGCTGGGAAATCCACAATCAGACAGAGGGCTGTTTCTACTGGTACCACAAAGAAGTCGTCATTGGGTAATTTGCAGGCGTCTAATTCCACAAAGCAAAAACAAAATCGCAACAATGCAGATGCATCAGCCTCTCACAACAGGGTCTCCTTTCATGGAGAGCCTTCCACGGTAAGAGTTGCATTTCTCTGTAATATGATGTATTTTACTTCATCAGACTAGACCAAAGGAAACTTAGCAATGGGACAATTTAGTCCTTTTTTTTCACACTTAAGTCAAAAAAATTATTTTGCAATTGGATGAAAAAGAGATGAAGTGGTAGTTGAGGTTTTTTCAATACTAATAATAATCCTTGCATTTGATATAACACCTTAACATGTAGTTGAGATATTTTAAAGCGCTTCACAGAATATATTGTGAAAACACGTGTTGATTCTTCTAATATATACCTTGCCTACATTTGATGTTTATGGAAATTTTGAATTTGACTTAAGTTTGGGAAGTATTGTATTTTCGACCCATTAAACAGTATATCTAATTTATGTTATGGATTGTTTGTTAGTGCCAATTGAAAAAAAACGAATATGACTTTATTAAATATTATTTATTATGGTTGGGGAAAAAAACAGGTTCTACTAAGTTAAATACTGTAATATAAATCTGGATTCTAGAACTAATAGTAGTAGCACTCTTGCCTCTGAGTTACAAGGTTGTAGGTTCAAGTCCCACATCAGGACTTCGAATCACATTGTCTAAACTGACACTTCAATTGAGTACTTGGGTATGTTGCATTGTTAGAGATACCGTCCTTCGCATGAGACGTTGAACCAAGGCCCCGTCTGCTGTTCAGGTGGATGTTAAAGATCGCATGGCACTGCTTGAAATGAAAAGGGAGTTTCTCCCAGTGTCCTGGCCAACAATCCTTCAAATAAAAATGGTCACTCACTCCATGGTTGTTAGTGGAACATTGCTGTGCGCAGCCGGCTGCCCCATTTCATCCACTAAATACAGTCAATTTACTTTACAGTATATATTGTAAAGCACTTGGAATGTGAAGAGGCAAGGATTATTATTTTTGTTTTTGCCTACAAAGAGCAGTCACTACATGTGACAGTAATTGTCACATGTAGTGGAATCCTGAGGTTATTAGAGAGAGCACTTGCCTTGTAAGTGAGAGGACGTGAGCTTAATGGCAGGGCGAAACATTGGGCAAGTTTCCTTCCTCCACACACCTCTGTTTACCAGCAGTAAGTAGGAACTTGGTTGTTAGTCGATTGGCGGATTGCTTTTCCGGAAGTAATAATCCCTTTATATATAAAAAAAGAAGAATTTGGTCACTCAATTCACGACTGTTTGTGGGACACTGCAGTGTGCAATTGGCTGCCGCGTTTTGCCCACAAAATATACAGTCAATTCACTTTACAGTAGCCTGTGAAGCGCTTTGAGATGAGTTGAAGATGTGATAAGGCACTATATCAAAAATTGCAAGAATGATTATTAGTTACCATGACATGTTGTAGGTGTTGTAAAAATACAATGAAAATGAAACCAATCCTAACATCAATGTGTTCCAATGATTCCAGTAATTGCTTTCGTGAAAATACTAACCTTTGATCATCAGATTACAGTGTCGCAGTTTATTGCTAGGCAAAGTAGTCAATGTACAAAACTGCACACCTTGTATGTACAGCAGTGGTAGGGTGAACTGTGACTCAATTATCATCCAGAATTCTGCAGTAAGAAAGGGGAAAACATGAATTTAAAATAAATTATTTTATTTCACTTTTTATGTCTGTATAGTTCAATCAGTAACAAATATTCCATTGATGATAAGATTGCTGACCCAAGAGGTTAATGGCAACTTAATCACTAAGTTAATGGCTATATTAACTATGAGTGATTAAGTTGCCATTAAAGTTTTTCGGTCAATCAACCTTATCTTGATTTTACTGCAGTGGTTGAATTCCTTCTCTAAATTAATAAACAAATACTGCTCTATATTAATAAATGCACTTTCCTTTCTTGCTTAAGCAGTCCTTTACATGTTATAGTTTTCTTGGGCAATAAAAAACAAAACCAACAAATTGGTGGGGAGACATGGGCATAAATGCAATTTATTAGCTGGGGCACAGAGAGGGGGAGATTGCTATGCAAATAAATGTCCTAAAGTTTTTGATACAAGATGTTGCTTATTCTTTTCTGCTTCAGTTCCAGTCAAACTTATTTTCTAATGCTTTCAAGTAGACTTTTCTAAACCAGTCTAAACCAAGAAATTTCAATGAAGGGAATTTTACTGGATAAAATTTGCTTGCCGCGTTTGCCTATAAGATATGCAATGACTTTACGTATATCCTGTGATGTGCTTTGAAACGGCTTTCCGATTTGAAATGCTTTACTAAATACAAGAATTAGAACTATTATTTTTACTCCATTCAAATTATTCTCCTGATTTGTTTTTGCTCATTGTAAAAATGTTTAGTATTTGGTCAAAGTAATATAGTTTAGTGAGTGGTGAGGCTTGTTCTTAAATCACTTTAAATAAGAATTAGCAACAATTTGAATAAAAATGTAATTATTAAAAACTAATCATTTATAACAAAGCCCATGTGTATAATAACTGGGCCAAAATTTTTTGACAGTTTACTTGGTAATGGAAAACCTGGTCAATATGTTCCTTGTTCTGCTGCAGGAAAGATCCATAGCTTCTAAATCCTACAGTCAGAAAAGGAAGAGAACATCAGTTAGAAGACCTGAATCTAGTTCGTCCCATGAATTGACTTCATCTGGATCTTCTACTCCAGGTTAGGATGTTAAGAATTGCACTACAACAAGTTTCTTAATTGGAATGTCTGATGAAGATGGGAACTGCTTTGTGCAGTGGGTGATCGCAAGATAGGTTCGGATAAAGAAGACTGTGGCTCATCTGATCTCATCCCTCCAGAATATCCATTTTACTGTCCTCCCATCGCAGGATTAACCAGCTTTTTAAATGAGTTTAGTGTCCTGGCCTCAACCACTCTTCATGACAACCTATTCCAGTTGTTAATTACCATCCGAGTAAAGAAATATTTCCTGTTTTGTCCTGAAATTGCCCTTTGTAACCCTAAACCTATGCCCTCTTGTCTACCGTCTTGTATCTTAAAGGAAAACAAGGGGTCATCCATGATCATGCTGTTCTTTCCCCCCGGGGACCTAGCCTTAAATTTAGCACAAACTGAAGGATGACATTTTTCTATCTACTCTAAGAGTTATTTGTGAATGTGTTTTGTCTAAAATTAGTGTCTTATGGGCATGGGCTCAAAGCAAAACCTACCCTTTATTGAGCACTAAATCGCCAATCTCACTTGGGATTTTTTTTACAATTAAGCTGATTCACTTACTATTGTAATGAAAAAGATACTTAACAAGAATTACATATCCTGGATGATGGTTTTATAGGAATGAAACAATCAGTGAAATCACTGCATTAGATCATGGATGTATGTTTTGGGGGAACTATGGAGCTTATTAAGCTAAAACCACATAGCTTACCATTGAGAGCACTGTCTGGCAAACTTCTGGCTGCTTGTCTAGCTGGGACCACCCTGTTCTTTAAAACATGCAGGGTTAACAGGATCGGAATAGGAAGTAGCCCTGTCTGCATTACTAATCGGTCCCTCCATATCTTGCAGATTAGTCAGACAGGCTAGCCTGTCACCAGCAGTGCACTGGTGTACTGTGGTCCCAATCTGCCTCAGGAACCAGGCTACTGAGACCAACATAGAGGGTTGACTCGGTTCCGACATTCTATTGCCAAGCATCTGCATCACCTTGGAGACAGTTTACTTTCAAGGAGACCCTATTTAGCTCTCCCTTCCCAGGATAGTCACTAGTTGGTCTTACAGTAAGAAAATGTTATCGAGAATGATTAGGAAACTGCAAATTTTAATTACTGAAGGAGCATCTTTTGTTTTTGTGTTACCAATCAGAGGCTGGTCCATCATCTGTGAAGATCCGCTGCCCAGAAGGCACAAAAAGATTAGCAAAAGATCTTACTATACTAGATGTAGTTCTGAATGAGTTTCAGATGATTTTCACAAAATACAAGTAAGTTCAGATCGCTGTGTGCAATGCTGTCAAGTACAATACAATACAAAATTACATTTATGGAGCCTGCTGAGCAGAGAGAGCGGACAGGTTGACAAGGGGTTAGCAGGTCGGAGAGGTAGGAGGGAGCAAGCCATGGAGGACCTTGAAAGTGAGGACGAGAATTTTGATCTTGATCCTTTGAGGGACGGGGAGCCAGTGGAGCCAGACGAGGGTGGGTTTGATGGGGTCACGGAGCCTGGTGCAGGAGAGGATACAAGCTGCAGAGTTCTGGATGATCTGCAGCATGTGGAGGGAAGAGTTGGGAAGGCCGACAAGCAGGTCATTAGCATAGTTGAACCTGGTTGTAACAAAGGTATGTATGAGGGTTTCGACGGCCTGAGGGTTGAGGCAGTGGCGGAGTCGGGCAACGTTGTGGAGGTGGGACAGGCAGAGCGGGTCCTCGCACAGATATGGGAGAGAAAGGACAGTTGAGGGTCGAACAAGACACCAAGGTTCCTGACTGGATTGTATAAAGTATAATTTATTATGCAACCCTTAACAGATTCTTCATATCTAATCTTTGCCGTTTCCCCACAAGACATTAGACATTAAGAAACCAGAAATGGCCAATAAGCATCCTTTTTATTATCTCAGTACCACCTATTCCCCTTTTGCAGTTTCTTCTCTTCTTTCTCCAGAAATGCATCTGTTGTAGTTGCCTCCAGAACCAATTTAATTTAGACTGTTTGCAGTATAATGATCTTTCCTATTGCCTTATTCCATAAATCAATTATTTTTATTAATAAGATTGTTGCCTTGTTCTTATCTTTCTAATTTCATTTCTTGCAGTTTGTTAATTTGGTAAATTAGATTATTTAAACTTTTTTCACCTTCTGTTACAAGGTAAAATATAATTATAATTTAGAACATTTACAAATGCAACCTTTTGTGCTTTATTCATAATTTTGAATTGGCTTAGAGTTTTAAATTAGGATATTTTCAAACTGGATTTAAGTTAATTGCAACTTTCATTTTGCCAGCAATATTCTGGATAAAAGGCTGGTGAGCCAAATAGCTAGCCCATTTCGCTGGACAGCAAAATTCTTTGGCTTTTGTCCATTTGTGGCTTGTGATTTAGTGACCACAAATATTGCAAACCCATAATTGCAATTAATCCAGTTGGTAAATCATAAATTAGACCTGATTGCCTTATTTACTAAAGTCATCAGTCAGCCTGGCAGTCAGTACTCTCACCTCTTTGTCAGAAGATTATGGGTTCAAGCCCCCAACTAGTACTTTTAATTCAGTCTTGGCTGACACTGCAGTCCAGTGCTGGTGGTGTGCTGTATTGCACTGTTCAGGTGGACATTAAAGATCTCATGGCACTTCAAAAAGAGAAAGGAGTCTCGACCAACGATCCCCCAGATAAAATTGTTTGTGTGCAAATAACAAAGCAATTAGGTGCTATATCAAATGCAAAGATTGTTATTTTTGTTCGATTTCATAGGGAGTCTGTGGAATCAAATCCCTGCAAAAAAGCAATTGATAGCTTCTATACCAATGTGGAAGAGCATATTATGGAAACTGTAAGTACTGAATACATTTGGAACCAAATAATGTAAACCTTGGGAGCCCTTTTTTTTAAACAGGTTTCAAACAAATTAACATGGTTTTCAATATGTGATTTCCATACCGACCTATCCACTCCTTCCGCTCAGTGGACTCTGGGTCCCACCTGAAATCCAGGACTGTTCCCTGGTGTAATAACTACCTCAGCACCCTTAAATCCCAAATCTGAACACTCGAGCACAGATGGCAGAAAACTGGCCTTGTGGTTCACTGCCAAATGTAGCTCAAGCATCTTTGAACCTCCCTCATAATCCATAATTGTGATCTATTCTTAGGCCATTCTGGAGGCCAAATAACCCCAAAGTGCTGTTCTCCACCCCTCTTATCCCATTTTCAGATCGCACCTGAAGACCTTCCTCTTTGACTATGCTTACGGTCGCTTCCCCTGGCTCATTGTCAGGCTCCTGCACTGTTAAGCACTCTGAGATGCTCCCTTCATGCAGGGCACTATATTAATGCAAGTTGTTATTAATTGCCTAACTGTTTTCTGTTTAAAGATTGGTACAGTTCAAGAGCTGCAGGATTTGAAAAGAAAAGATGCAAAGGTGATTATTTTTGTGATTATACCTTCATTGAATTTTTTTAAACAAAATTGGCATTTTAAGATTTCAATGCCAAAAGTCTTCACTTTTCTGCACAATTATACTATTATAGGTGACAACAACTTTCAACAAGAAGAGAAAACGCTTTCTGGAAGTTCAGAAGGAATTAATTGAGTAATGCTGTTTACTTTTATTTTAAATCATGAGCACTGGCTTATTTTGTGTGAACAACAACAAATTACATTTGTACATTAAGAGAAGTTAGTGAACAGTGCAATATTTTTAGGCATTGAACTAGCTCATATTTAGTTGGTAAATCTTGGATCATTGTTCAATAACATTAAATGCACAGTAAAACATTATGAATTTCTGATTTCACTAAAGTGATCATCTGAAGTGATCACTTAGGCACAACCAGTGGAATGTCTTGGTCTCATTTCGTTCTAATTTACAGACAAGAAGCACAACTTAAACAGTTATGGAAGGAACATGCTGAATTGAGTCAAAGGAAATCAGACTTTCAGGTTGCAACACAATTCCTGTCTGATTTTAAAGAATTGCAGATCCAGTATTGTGAACATAGGAATAGAAACCCTACTGAAAAAGAAACGGTAATTTTTTTTTGTTGTGTAATGCACTCGTAATTTGTGGGGGTAACTGCTTTGTTGTTGCTTAGTCATTTGTAGACAATGAACCATTCTGGACTAGATTTAACCAAAATCCCAGAGGTGAACAAAACTAATTTATTAACCAACCATTTGGTGTGTTTTGTTCAGAACAAAAGCACGTATGCTGCAAATCAATAATTTTCTAGACATTAATCTTTTAGCCTGCAGAGATGGAAGGGGACACACGTCTAAACTGCTTGGGCAACAAATGTAAGCTCTACTGTTACTAGTTTAAATATCTTCCGTTTCATCAACAGTATGATATTTCAAGCTTTCCTGCTCTGCTGGTAGAATCGCGAGGAATTTTGGGAGCAGTAAAACAGCTGCAGAATATCAATGCAAAATTGCAGCAGGAACTTGACAAGAACTGAGGAGCATTTCTATAATTCCAGAGCAGCTGTATGAGCTGGGAGACTATCTATTCTCACCGTGGAAGCAAAGTGATTCACTTAAAACTGAACAGTGTGTGATTTTCAATTTCATACATCTTGTCTTTGTACTTTTGTATTGGCAATTTTTTTTAGCTTATTTCAGCAGCCATGGTGGAGGGGACTGTCTGAAAGACATGTCTGCACTATGTACCAGTACTAGTTTATTTAGATGAGTTCAGCAGAACTGAAGATAGCTTTCCCCCCCCCCCCATTATTTGAGGATAAGCTTCACATAATTCATAAATTTGTCCAACATTTTTCTCCCACACTTATAATGCTGAGGAATAATCATCTGGTATCTGCCCATCACAACAAATGCTACTGACGAACAACACGAAGATGCTGTGCCAAAGCAGACCGCAACAATATCAGGTTGTGGTAACTATATAACAACGTAAAAAGATCTTAAGTAAATGAAATTGCCTTAATTGGATTCAAAACATGTTTTTTTAAGGTTTAAAAAAAATGTTTTGCCACTTTTCAACTGCATTTTCAGTTAGTGTAGGATTTTCACTAAAAGTTCCATGCAGCCATATGCAGTAGCATTAAGTGTAATATACTGTACATTAAATATTCTTGTGTATTTAAAATAAAGCTTTTGTTTGTGAATGTAATGTAATAAAGTCTGATTTTGCTACATTTTCAAAATAAAAGTTTTGAAAGGTTTCATAAGGATATGTGTTCAGGACAATTTGTTTGGTCTGATACATGCTCCAGTTGCTGCACAGCTGCTAGTAAACAGTTATCTGATAGCTCTTCAGTCTCGTCACTACTCAATTCTGACTGGATTGAATCAGCAGCAATACAAAATTCAGCATCTTCAAGAGCTTCCAAAAACATTACATCATCAGCGCTGTTCCCAAATTCTGCATCCAGACTTCCTGAATGTGTTCCAGTCTTTGGTGTAGATTTAGCACTAGAGTGCAATTGTGTTACACTGTACTGATACTCATTCTGTGTTGGACACTCCACATTTTGACTGGCTTTAATGTTTCCATCCTTATCCATGGTAAAAAGAAACTCATCATCCTGAAACAAAAAACAATTCATTTTGTTTCAAACAAAAAAAACTTAAGTGCCTGTACATTCACACTTATTAATGTTGAGAGAACAAGTTTATTTGCATGGGATATTGATTCACCAATTGACCTATTTACTGTTGGGTATGCAGGCTTGTGGAGTACGTAAGCTTGCCTAAGGTTTCACCCTACCCAGGAATTGAACCCGAGTCCTCTCACTTGCGAGGCGAGTGCTCTAACCAATACGCTACTCCACTAAATGTTCCTATTCCAGCAGACAAACCTGAATTACTACCAGGAGCAGTTCCAGACTGATTTCATCTTCTCTTCTGTTAGACTGGGAATACCATTTAATATCTTAAATGGGATTAAGGGATATTGGGATAAGGCAGGGTTAGGTTATTAGCTGGTGTTAGATTAGAAGATCAGCCATGATTTAATGGCGGGGTAGGCTCGAAGGGCCGAATGGCCTCCTGCTCCTACATGTTATGTTATCTGACTGATACCTGCAAAACCAATATATACTAGGATCAACTGTGGCTTAGTACTGCACTAAGTTCAAGTTCTCCACTTATGTTTTAGTTCAGTAGCTCCTGAAGTACACTGTTAAGGTTTCATTACATACCATGTCAATGAGAAAGTCCAAACAGCATTCACAAGGTAATGGGCGACCTGGAATTCAAGAATAAGAAAATAAATTCCCAGTAAAACTAAATTTAATTCTAGATTGTAGTCTGAAATGTGAATGTATAATTCTTACTTTCCGATTTGAAATTCTGAGCTCTACAAAGATGATCATAGCATTTCTGGTACCATATCTCTCTCTTCAGGTCAACCACAATCCTTCAAAAGAACAATTTGTATATTATAGGATCCGAGATTCCTTGTTCTTCGTTCCATGGAATAAATATATATTGTATGCAGTAGGAGTCTGTAATCAATATTTAACTATACAAAAATATGTCACATAAATGAGAAAGCGTCAACGTCTTTAATTATTAGTTGCTTAAGGAGTCATAAAAGCACTATTTATACAGTCACTGCTTTAATGGTTTACAGACGATACGCAATCTTTGATACAAGAAGTTTAAGAAGATCTATTTTCATCAGACAACCTTTTCTAGAAGAATCCTACAATTGGGATCCGAGTTGAAATAAACTTCCAAAATAAGATGAAAGTCTATTATCTATTTACTGCAAGGAGCTTCTGTAAAATTTGTTTGCGCAGTTTCAGCTTTGTGTGTTGAGGCTCACAACATATGACCTTAAAGACTGATGGTTTGAGGAAATGGAAATGACACACCAGTGCAGGAGGGCAAGGATACCCAAATGGCAGATCACAAATCTAAGAAAGATTTCTTCCAGACTCCACACGTTAATCATCAGCTGTTGTTAGGGATCATGCTCTTCCCAATGTCAACACCTCTCTCTACTGTGAATGGAGCTGGACTTCATAGCTTGTCAATGGGGATAACGGTTTACAAATTAAAAGAAAGTCACTGCAACGGAAGTGGGGATCCTTCGCATTCACCTCTTGTTAACTCTGCAAGCCAAAGCATTAATGCAGTGGTGGCAAATCCATGGCCCATGGGGCTGTCAAGAAGCCGCCCCCAACCCCCGAACATTCACACTAGTCTAGGTAAGTCCTTGTTTGAATGGTAGTGTGTTTCCAGGTTTTTCTTGATTGAATATTTCTTGATTTAGGGTTTCATTCAAGAACTCTTCAAATAAGAACATTTATTTTGTTGGCCGACCAAAAAGGCTGGCCACCGCTATACTAAAGGGTAGTGTTCTGAGCTGGAAAAACAGTGGGAAGCTTGGCAGACAGGACCCTCAATGGCAAACCATGCAGTGCTAGCTGGTTAAACTCGAGTAGTAATCCAACACCATCCTGGAGATAATACCCTCCAGAAATAGGCAAAAGAGAGTGCATCCCTCCAGGGAAAGACTGCACATCCCAGTTCAGACACTGAGATTTCCATGATTAAGTGGTATACATATGTGGAAATATTAGTCTGATTTGGCTACTCTTCAGCATAGCTGATGGGTTTCCTCATATACCAAGGCTGACCAAAACCAAAATGAAGCAGTTAATGTTCATGTGAACTATACTTACATAATATTGTTGTTTTTATGAGCTCTACCAATATTCTCACACCAGTGATTTTTGCCGATGTCATAAACAATCAATTCTTCAGAGGAAAAGTAATTCCAACGACGTATCACTGAGGAGATTAAGTTATTTATTATTTTAAAGCTAATTTTGAACCAGATTATGAACTAAAAAGAATAAAATGGACCATTTTACTCTTAGAATTAATCCTTTCTATTTGCAGGAAGATTTCATAAATAATAATAACATAATCCTTGTATTTTATATAGTGCCTATTCATGTCTTCGAGGCATCTCAAAGGGCTTCACAGAATATATTGTAAAGTGAACTGAACTGACTGTATATTTTTGTGGGCGAAACGCTGCAGCCGATTACGCACAGCAGTGTCCAACAACCGTTTGTGGATTGGGTGACCAAATTATTATCATTATTTATTTATTTTTTGAAGGGGTTATTACCCCCGGAAAAGCGATCCGTCAATCGACCAACAACCGAGTTACTTGCTGCTAGATAAACAGCCGTATGGAGTAAGAAAATTTGCCTAACGTTTCGCTCTGCCCGGGAATCAAACCCAGATCCTCTTGCTTCGGAGTGCTCTAACCAATATGCTGCAGGACTCCACAAATCTATGAGTGTTTTTGCATGTAATAAAGAAAAACTTACCACCTTGTATACCTCCCTTGTTCACTTGATTACTAATAAAACTATCGATTTCTGGGTATGGTGAAGAATGGTATCCTCCTACTGTATCTGTCAAACAAGGGAAAAAATATTGTCTCAGCGTAAAATGCAAAATATAAACCTACAGTGCCTTGTAAATTTCTTAATGACCTTCAACATAATTTAGAATAAGTAGACAACCTCTGTTTTACTGATAAAAAGAGTTAAAAAAAAAATTCCTGTAACAGTAATAACAAGGTAATCTTTCTTTAAACTTACTCTATTTGTTAAAAATAACACTTGCATTAGATATGCCGCCTATAATCAAAGTCTCAAACTGCTTCACAACATTTCTGTGAACTGTAGCAACCGTGCATTTACAGGCAGACACAGGAGCAAATTGCACATAGCAGTGTCCCATAACAACCATGAGTGATGGGCAATTTTCTGGAGGATTATTGGTCAGGAAACTGTGTGCAGTCTTTCTGACTAATGCCATGGAATGCTTAACATCCACCTAGATAGACACTCGGTTTAACATTTGATGGGAAGGATGGCACCTCTGACAAAGCAGCACTGCACTAGAGTGTCAGAGTACGCTATATGCTTAAACTGGAGCTCGAAACCACAAACGTCTGACCCAGATGTGACAGCTGCCAACTAAGGCAGGCAAACAGACCTAAAGACGAGAACAAGATAACATTTGTCTTAATATTAAATTTAACTAACAATGTGCAAATACAATAAAAGTCTCAGAGATTAAGTGTATGTTGCCACGATCACTACTCTTAATGCCAAGTGGCATTTCTTATAAGTCATTATGGAATCTTGTTGTTGTTGTGCTTAAAATTGTATACAGCCAACGTAAACAAGCTTCAAAGTGAACAGACTGAGAACCACACAATAGTAAAATTCTACCTCCATGATCTAACTCAGGGATATGTAAACAAATCATTAGTAAATTCAATACCTGACACTGTGAGATGTGCATTATCTTGAGAGATCCATCCTCTGGCTTTCTTAGCATTTGAGGTATCACAAGTCAAAACCGTCAAATTATCAGAAAACCTGAAATATTTACAAAAAAAAATTGTTTGGCAAACGTGAGGCTGATATAAAACTAAATCCCGCTATACAGTATTTACATTTTTTAATTTACAACATTAACAGAACCAAACACTCCCAGATACTAAAAATACAAAACAATTTTGACTTAAAAATACTACAGTGTTGAGAATTTGAGATATTGTACCTAACATTGCTGACCAAAGAATTCAGGAAAATTAACTCCTCCTTAGAAATATTCTTCTGAGGCTTGGGAATAAACTGATTGTCTTCAGCAACTTCAAAAGACGTGTTCTTGCCCAGTTTAGATGACTTATACAGTCGAAAGTTCCTGTTTTTTGTGTACACGGCTATATAAAAAATAGTAAGGCAAAAGTCAAGTATACTTTTTTAGATATATCAATTTTGACAAATAGTTACCCAATATGTAAAGTACTAGATGATATTTTCCAAATTGCATGCTGCAATATATTCTGAGTTTCAATAAGTAGAAGTAGTTTTGTTACGTTTCCTGTATAATTTGCAATTAAGTACAAACTAAATATTAAAAATTGCATTAAAATCATATTTTAATTGTATATAGCGAAATTAAGATACATCTCTTAGTGAAATTAAGATACATAGCCCTTATATCTCTTGTACTGGATGGAGGGATACAAGATTAATTCAACAATTCCTCCATCAGTTGACCAGCCAATCCTCAATTCTCGAGTACATAGAGGCAGAGCCCATTATTTCTGAACGATTGAATGCACATATACTGTGAAATACTAAATGCACATCTTACCTAGATCCACAAAACTTTGGTCAAATCCATCTCTACCTTTCACAATCAGAAATGACAAATCTGCATCCACATTGCCATTCTCTGATGTTTCCCATCCTGTGGTTTTATGGCTTTTTGAACAGACATTCTCAGAACCATCTTCAATATCTTTCCTCTTTCCTGGAGTGGACACCGAATCTTTGTTGCTGAAACTGAGAGAATCTTTACCACTGCATTTGTTTTCCAGTACTGTTATCATAGGCTGCAAGATTGTTGTGATGCAGTTTCCTGAAACAACAAACAAAATGTTGAATAGATGTGATACCACAGATGCAATAATTTGTAAAGTGTAATTATTTTAGTTTATTACCCTTTATTATAAATTGAATGTCCTTCTGATGTGAAAGGCTTTATATAAATGTAAATTTGCTGTTGCTTAAAAGTAAATTCATAGTAAAATTGATGTACAGTATTAAAGTTTCTGGATGTTCAATCTTACCCCACAATTTTCAACTAACTAGTTTTGTGAACCTCAGGATTTTTATCTAGAAAGTAGCAAAGTCCCATCTTCAATCAGCAGTCTGTGCAGAATAGGTACTAGAATAAGCCTCACTTGGTTGGGGAAGATAAAGCAGACAGTGTTGCCGAATTGCGATCATGATTTGCAACCCATGCAAGTGGTAAATATCTATGAATTTTTCAGGAGCTGTATTATTTGTATTGGGTTTACATATACACCCACAGAATATACAGTCAATTCTCTTTACCGTATATTCTGTGAAGCGCTTTGAGACTTCTCGCAGACTTGATAAGGCGCTATATAAAAATGCAAGGATTATTATTATCCTTGGAGTCAAAGAGTCTACAGACACACACTGTTAAGACTCACACATAATAGTAATCCTTGCATGTGATATGGCGCATTATCACGGCATTGCGATGTCTCAAAACACTTTGACTTATGAGTGACAAACTATAGCTAGAGTGTTGTCCAGGAGGCTCACTAATTAAGCACCTTGATCAATTTCACTATATCAATAATTATCAATATAGGAGCTAGAACAAACGAGGGACTTATTTTGATGTAACACAGGTTTTCACCACAGACTAATTTAAACTCTGGCAGTGATCTCATTGATTACTTTTGCCATTAATCCTCTCTGGGCGGGAGACTTTTATTAAGGTTATCTACTTGCTCAGCATCAGTGCTAAGTAATGTCTCTTTGATTGTAATTCATGTATAGGGTTGTGTGTGTGTGGGGGGGGCTGGATATGTAGGATTAGCTCATAATATTTTGCATGAAAAATGATTCCATGGTGACTTATGTGACCAAAATAATAATAAGCAGCACAAGATCTACAGTAATTGAATCAAAACAAGTATGATGGCAAGGATGACTTCACCCCTGGGATTTAGGGTTCTTTTTCACTGAAGGATGGAGGTGACACCATGACATTACCGAGATTCCAGGCAGTGAAATCATTGCAAAGAAAAAGTTACTTTATTGACTAAGAGAAATAATATCAGAGGAAGCTTACCAACATGTATGTTATTCTTAAAGACTGCGTTAGGAAGATGGAATATTAGATGGCGGCTAAATTTTTCACCAGTACTGGAGTCCAAGTTCAAAACATCTTTCACTGAGCATTTTATTTTGTAACGTTCTTCCAGTTTTTGACAAACATACTGAATAAACAAAACATGAAATGACATGGGTTCTAATTTTGTATTTGAATCTAAACTTCTGTAATTTTATAATAACCTTTTATTTGATATGGCATCTATAATATCAAAACAAGTCACAGATAATTATTGTTATGTGTAGTGACTATTTATTTGAAGTCAATTTGCACACACAGTAAAATCTCAAAAAAGGTTACAAAGCGAATGATTAATTTATCTGGAGGATTGTTTACTTGGATACCAGGTAAATTGATTTACTATTTATACACTTATGTTCAACGATGCTTTCCTCTCTTTCTATAGGGTAGTCACATCATTCACTCTTCCACATGATAGCATTTTAAAATGATGTTAAAAGAAATAAAAATCAGCATTATAAATATATTATCAACTACAAAGAAAAACAGAACTAGTAAAAATACACAAGATGGTTTGATATAGAACATAATCTTTCAATTTGAAAACCCTCGTCAATTCAGCTGTGTTTAATAATATAAACGTAGCACAAATTTCCCTACAACAAAAGTTTATATAGTGTCTTTCATATTGGGAGGATGTCTCAAAGCGCTTAACTAAAATGAATGAAACACTTGATCGGGAAAAATGTACAGGTTTATAACCAAATAAAACAGCAGTATACATAAACTATTACAATAATGCTCTTAGCACCTGAATTAATTTTGTGACCATCTGTTTCCCATCACGCCCTGGATTCATTTGTTTATTGAATTCTAGGTCAAAGTAAAGATGACAGACAGACCCTTCTGGAATCACTTCATAGCAGTGCATCAATGATTGCCTGTGCATTCTGAAAAAAATAACAGGCTTTCAAACCAGCAACACACCATTACTGTGCATTGTTGCAAACAAATAACTACTTTAGAATACAATTAGTGCCCAGCATTTAACATTATAAAATCATGTTGTAGGAATCACATTGATTCCTATCCCCAAATTGAAGCTTTCCTCCTCCCTAAGGTTTCCACTGGTCTGGCTCTGCATCTATGCTGAGACAATGACATCATCCTTCTGTGCCACTGAGCCCAAAATACATTCAAATAGTATTGAAAATCTCTTCTCACCCATCTGTGAGAAGACTAAAGATTTTGAATCTGCTATGCAGCCCATCACGATGATTGATTTTTTCCAAATAATTCTTACCCCTTTTGTTAAAATCACAAAATCCATCTCATGAATTAACTTCCCTTTCCAAACATTAATTTTCCCATATGTGCACATTGTACAAGATTATAACTACATATTTTAACATAGAACATTAGAAATTAAATCATCTTTGGTACATTTCCTCAAATTCAGTCCTGCCAGTCACAAAGCTACCATTAGCCCATTACTTCCAAGCTCACTACTACTCTCAAATAAAATTATTAATAATTCTGTGTAAATACTAGATATGGAGCATTTACATATCTAACAACAGCAATATAACAGCTTTTGATGTTTCTACCTCAAAGTTATAAATAAAAATCCAACAGGGATGAATTTTAATAAACATAATATCTGCTATAGAAATTCATACAGAAATAAACACTTAGGATTTTTTTTAGCCCAATAGTTACTTACTGATAGTAAAACCACAGCTCACTGTGTGTTGTGACAAGATAAATTCTCTGTCCAAATGCAATATCCTTCTTCTGACCTTCCTTCTCCAATGCAAATATGTGCACATCCTTTAATGACAAATAACAACAACTTTTAAAAAGATTGCAATGCAAAATACAAGCAGTTATCTAATTTATAATTTTATATATTAATTGCTTTGTCCTTCGGGTGACACATTAAACCAAGGTCCCATCTGCCTGTTCAGATGGACTTTAAGGTCCCATAGTTCTATTGAAAAAGAGAAGGGAAGATTCTCCCTGTGAACTGACCAACAATCCCCCAGGTAAAATTGATCATTCACTTCATGGCTGTTTGTGGGACATTCCTGCGTGTAAATTGGCTGACCCATTCACCTATATCACTACACTCTACAATAATCCTGTGAAACGCCTCCTGATATGAAAGGTGCTATATTATCATCACAAACACACTGTGCTTACTGATAGGCTTTTTTCCTGGCACATTGAAGCTTCAACTTCCAGTCTGAATGATCATCAATTGATGCTCTGTTTACTGATGAATAAAGGAAATTCAGTCTGGCATAGGCAGTTTGGAAGTATGGTATGTTTTAGTTCCAATATTGCCTAGACACCTGGTTATAGAAATCAAGTATACTTTGCAAAGATGTCTCTGTTTTCTTGTGGAAGACTACCCATGGAAGTCAACAAAATACAGCCTTCCAACATAACAAAGCAGATGTTAAAGCTACTCTTACTTTGTATGAAAACTTAACATCACAACATCAAAATGTAAAAGAAGCTACCACTAACAGAAGTGAGCTACTGTCAAAGAGTTCATCTTGTAAGGATCTCATTGAGTACAAGGAGCCCTAGCAAGGCAATATTATAAATACCAATGTAAAATTAATAGTTGATATACAACTTTATCCCACAATCTCTTTGCCTCGCCCTCTCCCTTGTCTCCTTCAAAGTCCGTGGCAAGACGCTCCTCTTCGACTGTGCCTTCGTTCAACCTCCTACCCGCACCCTCCCTACCCTTCACCCCTCCTGATCCCAAACCCCAGCTCAAATGCAAATCCTTGAATGTCCAGCGCTTTCGGACGTCCTCCCAACGTGAAAGGCATTATACAAATGTAATTTGCTGTTGTTTTTGTTGTTTATAAAACGTAACGAACTGCAGATCTCTAGAGTCTGAAATTCGTATGTTTACTTTTAGGCTTAGATTTACTATAAATAATTAGCAATAGCATCACAAAACTTAACATAAGAATATTTGTGCATCAATGATTGGCTGTGCAGCCTGAACGGAAAATAACAGGCTTTCAAACCAGCAACACATCATTACTGTGCATTAAATAACTAGTTTAGAATATCAAGATGTCCTAACAATGACATCTTTTTCCTGCTGAAAATCCTGTTTATTTCAGCCTATGGTGTGACATAGCCGCAATTAACTCTCATAATTCTAAATATGATAAACATTACTTTACCTCTTTACAGCTCTTGGAGAAGTTAAAAGCTTGATGCTGCCGATAAAACAACTTCCAGATTGATTCCGGCTGCCATGGTTTTGAAAGCCTTGGCTTGTAGGTAGGGTTAATCGGGTATCGTTGATAGATGCCTGCTAAAGCTTCAATATCCTTCACTCTTTTCTGCCAATTCCTCTTCATGTTCTTTAAAAAATAAAGACAGCAGTGCACACCATCAGTATAATCCTCATAATGGACTCAAGAGGTATTAATTTGGTAAATGGATTGAAGTGGCATAACCTCAATCAACAACAACAAAATTACATTTGTAAAGCGCCTTTCATGTCGGGAGGACGTCCCAAGGCGCTGGACAGTTTCAGACCCGAGCTGGGGGTTGGGGAGGGTGGAGGGCGGGGGGGGGGGAGATCGAAAGCACGGTCGAAGAGGAGGGTCTTGAGGTGGGTCTTGGAGGTGGCGAGGGAGGGGGGAGGCCCTCGGAGGGACTGCGGGATGGAGTTCCAGAGGGTGGCAGAAGGCCCGCCCGCCGGTAGTGGGGCGAGCGAGGGGGGGGGGCGTGAAGCAGGCCGGAGCCCGCTGAGCGGGGAGAGCAAACAGGATGGCGGGGGGGGGGGGGGGGGTCGGGAGGTCTGTTGGACCTCCTCGACGGTAGCCCAAACATGGCAAAGCTTTCGCCCACCAGGACCTGCGGTCAATTAACTTTACAGCACGTTCTCTGAAGCGCTTTGAGACGCCTCGAAGACGTGATGGGGCACTGTATCAAATGCCAGGATTATTATTATTATTATTATTATTATTATTATTATCATCAAAAGGGCAAAGTAGTGCGGATGCTGGAAATCTGGTATAAACACAGAGGTCGCTGGGCCAGGAAACCATGGCAACTGCCCAGGAGCCACCGGTACCCCTGAATATTATTATTATTATTATTATTATTATTATTATTATTATTATCTGTTGCCATGACTCAGACTGTCAAGATAACAGGGTAAAGGCACCGCTCAGCGAAAGTCCAGCACAACAACAAGGTCCATGACTTGGGGTAAGGCGGAGCGCGGTACTCACCGCTGTTCGGGTTAAACTCCCCCCTCCCGCAGTGCCGTTCATTGCCTCTCCCGCTCGCCGCTTCAACCCCCGGCGCGAAGCACAACGACCGGCCGAGTGCCTCCCGGGAGTTGCAGTTCCGGCGCTCGTCACTACCAATGGTCTTCCCCGGAGGGTAGAACTACGTTGCCCACAATGCACCGGGAAACCAGAGCACCTGCGCAGAAGCCGTCGATTCCCCCCCCCACCCGCTCTTCACCCACCCGCCTTCACTCTCTTTCGCGCGCGTGCGCTATAGAGATACGAGTCTCGTTCCGGGAATCGAAAGCGGTTGGAGTCAATCACAAAGGGGCTGACGTCAGTCAGGCTGCGTGTCGCTCGAGCTGAGCTGAGCTGAGGTGCAGGTGCAGGTGAGTGAGCGGGTGACGGGTCTCGCGGGGGAATCGACCGTTAGTGACAGTTTACAGCCGCCGGCGCCACAGTCATGAAAGTTACTCACTGTTCGCTGTGGCCCAGGTCTGTACTTTAAAGTGCCGACTTTCTTCTTCACTCCGCTTCGTCGAAGGCTTCCGCTTCAGTCGGATTGCGGGCGTAGCACCGGCGTGTGAGGGCGGGTTTGTACCCGGCGACCCTCTCCTCCTCCTCCTCTTCCTGCCCTCCGCGAAGGGCTCGTCGTTTGCGACGCGTCCCGACTCTCCCGTGTGGGTTTGCGATGGTTTCACTCCTCCCCGCGGGGTGTGTGTGTGTGTGTGTGTGTCATTCAGACCTGTGGTTGTGAAAGGGAACCGGGCGCTGCGGCTGTAAAAGTCACCAGGTTTTTGATACGACTTTTGATGATAATCCTTTGCATTTGATACAGCGCTTTTCACGTCTTCTCCACAGCGTCCCAAAGCGCTTCACAGAATAGGCCGTCAAGTGAATTGACTGTATATTTGTGGGCGAAACGCGGCAGTCAATTGCGCACAGCGGTGTCCCCACAAACAGTCGTGGATTGTTTGGGTTAAACTTCCCATCGCAGTGACGTTCATTGCCTCTCCCGCTCACCGCTTCAACCCCCGGCGTTCAGCCACAGCGCTACCGCTTCACCACCAGTCAGTACACAATTGTACATGTACACACAAAGCGTTTTGTGGAGTCCTGTAGCTCAGTGGTTAGAGCACTCGCTTTGCAAGTGAGAGACCTGAGTTCAATTCCAGGCACAGGGCGAAACCTTGGGCAAGTTTCCTTACTCCACACGCCTAATAATAATCCCTCCAAAACCCAAAACAATAATAAATTGGTCGTTTTCAATCTACGACTGTTTGTGGGACATTGCTGTGCGCAATTGGCTGCCGCGTTTGCCCACAAATATACAGTCAATTCACTTTACAGTGTGTTCTGTGAAGCGCTTTGGGATGTCCTCCTGACGTGAAAAGCGCTATATCAAATGCAAGGATTATTATTATTATTTTTACTATTTTAAAACGTAGTCATTGATTTCAGTGAATGGGATAGTTGACGCACGCCAGGAGCAGTGTTTGTGAAGCGTGGTAGATCATCACAAACAAGTGAAAACCGCAAATTTTGGTTTTGAGGGAGCAAATTTTATTTGTGATGCTTTTTTTTCTCTGTGATTTTGGAAAAGAAAGCAAATCCTCCTCTGGGTTTGGTTGTTTCTATATTGAAGAATGCACCAACTGCTCCAATCCCCTTTGACCCATTGAGCTCACGTAGTTTTATAGCGAGGGAAGAACATGTTTTAAAATGAGGGCTTCTGAATTCTCAGACAAGGGGCAGACAGACAGCTGTTGGAAAACGTGACCTTTGTTTTAAAAGCAATCTCCGACAGTACTCATTTTACTGTGCCTTGATTCCTGCATGATATAGCAGCCCTTTTATGGGACTTGAATTATTTACGTGGAAGTCTGGCTTTGGTTTGGCTTGTTAATGCATGAGATGTTATATGATGAATTGTGAGCATGAGATCACTCTTATCCAACAACATCAACTTGCATTTTTATATTGTGCCTTTCACTCGGTGTAGTGTCCCGGAGTGCTTCACAGTGGGAGTCTGACTCCGAGCCAGAGAGGAACGTCTTTGGGCGGCATTTGAAAGTGGGGAGGGAGGGGGCAAAGTGGCGGGATTGAGGGCGAGAGTTCCAGAGTTTCGGGGCGTAGTGACTGAAGGCACAGCCACTGATGGTGGAGTGAAGGGGATGAGAGTCAAACAGGAGGCCGGAGCCAGTCAAGCAGAGGCAGCGGGTGGAGGGGTAAGCAAATTGAATAGGTAGGGAGATGTGAGGGCACTAGAAAATGAGTGAGAGGATCTTGAAATCGATCCGTTCAGTAATTGGGAACCAATGGAGCCCGGCGAGGACTGGTGTGATGAAGGTCCGGAGTTTTGTGCAAGTGAGAATCGGGACGGACCCGGAGTTCTGAATTCGTTGTGTTTTGTGTATTGTGGAGCTGGGGAGACCAGCAAGGAGGGCATTGGAATAGTCCAGCCAGGAAGTGACAAAGGCACGGACGGACAAGGGTTTCGGCTGCTTTTATTATGAGGTATGGACGGAGGTGGGCAATCCGACAAAACTACTTGGCTCTTTTTAATTAACTGTGCATCCTAGGTTTATAGGCAAGAATATAAACTATCCACAACTGGGAATTAAATGTAATTACCTGTACATCAGACTTTAAAGAATGTTTTGCGTTTGCAGGACAGGATCATTGCGTCAATGCTTAAACTAGGCAAATAATTGACACAGTCGAAAGTGAAAGCGTTGATCAGGCAGGCAAGGGTTGTGCAAACATGTTGACATCTGAAAACATAACTCTTTGATTGCGCTTTCAGTCTTTTACCCCACCCCACCTCCCTCAGTCAGTTCTCACCCCCTCAGCTGCAGTGCCCATCCAGTAATGTGAAAGCGCATTGTGACATCCTCCCGACATGAAATATTCCAGATAAATAATAATAATCCTTGCATTTGCTACAGCGCCTTATCACATCTTTGAGATGTCTCAAAGTGCTTCACAGAATATACTGTAAAGTGAATTGATTTTTTTGTATATTTTGTATATCATAGTGTATTTTGTGGGCAAAATGTGGCAGTTAATTAATTACGCACAAATGTAAAGTAGATAAGCTGTGGGTTCAAGCCACGTTGAGGACATGGAATCACATGGTCTAAGAAGACGCTCAAATGCAGAGCTGGAGGTATGTTACATTGTTAGTGGTGACGTTCTTCAGAAGAAACGTTAAAAACAGGTGATGTCCTTCAGATGAGATGGGAACAATATTTCTCATATGTCAGATGAGACATTAAACTGAGGTGTCATCTGTCTGTTCAAGTGAAAGTTACAGATCCCATGGCACTATTTGAATAAAGGGAGTCTCTCTAGATGCCCTGGCCAACAATCCCCCAAATAAAATTGGTCATTCACACCATGGCTGTTTGTTGTACATTGCTGTGCACAACTACCTGCTGAGTTTTGCTCACAAAATAGTCAATCCACTTTACAGTATATCCTGTGAAGTGCTTCAAGACGTCTCAACGACATAATAAGTTGCTATTTCAAATGCAAGGATTATTATTATTAGAATTGAATAATTTGCATGTCACTAACTATTTAAACGTTAATGTGAATCAATTTCACACGTGTCTGTCAATACTGAGAAAATTAAGTAAAAAGTTACCTCATCTTCGTTAATGGCTGAGGTAACCTTTCAAGTTGGATGATTTCAACTCTGTACCACTTCATCTCCAGAGGATTGATGTGTTGTATTGCATCAATCAACCTGAATATTTAAAAAGCCTATTTGGTTCCTAGTAGTTTTAAATACAATACAATTTACGTTTATAATAGAGCCTTTCACCTTGAGAGAATGTCTCAAAGCACTTGACACTGTTGTAATATTCTAATAATCCTTGCATTTGATATATCACCTTATCACATCCTTGGGATGTCTTAATAATCTTGCATTTGATATAGCGCCTTATCATTTCTTTGAAACATCTCAAAACGGTTCACCGAATATAGTGGAAAGTGAGTTGACTATATTTTGTGGGCAAAACACTTAACAAGATATACTGTTTTGAAGCACTTCACAAGATAGTTAAAGGAGAATACACAAATGTATCAGTTTTGCTAAACTATCAGTTTTATTTGTTGAAAGATGTATCTACCATGATGATTTCCCACTGATGTATCAAACTCTCGTTAACTGCTGATTTTTACCTTATTTGTTTGATACATCAGATTGAATTTTAAAATATTAATACTCAATAATCATACTTTGTAGTACCTTAGATGCTATTTAACAAGTACTATTTAGTACTTTTGACTGTCGGGGAGGGAGATGCGGGAAGCAAAGCGAGAAGGAGGGAGAGGGGTCCAATACCACTATAATGCCACATCAAAGGTGTTATATAAGTGCAAGTTGTTGGTTGTCTTATCATTGGGATTTCCCAATTTTGTCCATATTATCAGTGGATAGTTATAGTACAAAGATGGCTATAAATTAATTCATGTTTGACATGTAATTCTATCAAATTTAGCCAATATCACCTTTAGTATGACTTCAATTGAACTAGCTGCGGACTGTGGAATCAGTTGGTGATCCAGTAGTAGTATATTCATTTAGTATTTTAGGTGATGGGAAAGGGAAGTGATATGAAATGTCAAGTTGTAGTGCTTGTATTATAGCTATACTATTTGGGAAGTTTTCATGTTTAAAAAGGATGTTGGATTCACCAGAAAACAGAAACAATTCTGTTGTCTGTTTACATTCATGCTAGTTTGGGAATTGTTCTTTTAGACCAGACTTTATTTTTGGTTCAAGTAGGCACACTTCACAGTGTGTATTGTCTTTTGCCACCTACCACTTCCTTGAATGTTGAATGGGGCAGACTAGACTTATCTATTAGAAAATGTGCGCACGTTATGTTGATTTTAAATCAGCCAATCCCATATATGCATATTTTGTTGATTTTGAACCACTCCAATCCCTTTAATTTTTTAAGCATTTTTTAGTTTTTGTGGAAAAAATATATGATAATGGTAACCCTTGCATTATATAGCACCTTATCACGTTGTTGAGATGTCTCAAAGCACTTCATAGAATATATTGTAAAGTGGACTGACTGTATATTTTGTGGGCAACCAATTCAAATTTAAACTAGTTGTATTCTAGAAATTCTTATAATTACACTCAATGTAAAATTGATCAGATAACTCGCTGTGACCCGAAGAGAACATAAAGATGTTTAGCTTTCACATATGACCTGGAAACACAGTATCATTATTCTTTAATACTTGGATGTCCTCCTGATGTGAAAGGTGCTATACAAATGTAATGTTGTTGTTGTAATACACTACAGTACATCTCCTGAAAAATACTATTTCCAATAACAGAAATAAGCGATTGGAAAAGAAAGTAGCGCATTTATGGACACACATACCTACACTTATGCTTATACTTAACGTAAACAAGTTTTAACATACACTGACAGTTGCGGGAGTTAGGATCGCTCCATCACACTGATTGTTGTTCGCTCAGCACAGGGGCAATGTGTTGGTGTATACATTACCTGCTCACAGTGCCCTCTTGTGACCTGAGAGGACCTATGCCTCACTACTCCAAATAACGTATCGCTGAGCCCTTTTCACTTGGACTGATGAGTTATCAGGAGTTCACTGAATTATTAGTATGATTAAGATACTGACTTATTTTTGAAGAAACATGTACAAACTTATTAATAAATGTTTTATGATTTGGCCGTTATAGCAATGTCTGAATTTGAGAGAACAGCACATCCTGATGGTGCAATGTCTGGAGGCGATTGTATTGATGCAAGGCCCAGTGAAGGCACTGGAGGGTAAGGTGAATTTACTGGCTTGTTTCTATGCTGTACATTCTATGTAAATCCATTGTCCATTTTCAAAAAATCATGTACGTGAGTGACTGAAAAGTGGCAAATGCCATTTACTGCTGACAGATTAAATTTTTCACATAGTCTAACTTTGTAGTCCTTTGTACACCATCTGTCCCTGAAGGAAAATATCCATTTGTTCTGCTATAACTCACTTTAAATAGTCTTGATTCATTTTTCTTGGCAATTTATCTATTCTGTTTTTCTCCAGAAATGTGCAAAAACAACATGTTGGTGACAACAAGGAAGTGGATCCAATTCCGAATGACCAGTGTATCAAATATAAGATGGACTACCAATGTATTGGCTACTGCATTATCTTCAACAATAAGCATTTTGATCCCCAAACAGGTATTTGACATTTTGTGTTCAGGTCACACATGTAAATTTCATTTCCTAATTGGACTAGGCATTCTTTCCCCTCCTCCACATATGTTTTTTATTCCCTTAAATTTTTTTGGAAAAATACATTTATTGTCTGTGTCAAAGTGTAAAGGGGAACTTGCATATTGCTAAGAATTAAATGCACGAAATTCTGTTACATAAGCTTGTACGTTAACATTTACCTTTACATTTACCTGTGTGTTGCTTCCGAATCTCGTCTCTGAACAGAATATTTTGAGAAAAAAATATTCATAATACAATCGAAAGTAGTTGCTGTGGCCTTTATCTCCTTCACCAATAATAATCCTTGCATTTGATAGAGCACCTTGTCACATCACTGAGACTCCTCAAAGCCTTTCATAGGATGTACAGTAAACTTTAGTAACTGTACCTTGTAGGCAAAAGCAGCAGCCAATTTGTGCACCACATTGTCCCACAAAGAGCCATGAATTGAATAAGCAATATTATCTGAGGGGACTGTTGACCTGGATACCAGGAAAAACTCCCTTCACTTTTCAAAAGGACCCATGGTATTTAATGTCCACCTGAACAGGCAGTAAGGGCCTTGTTTTAACATCTCATCTGAAGGACAGCACCTCCATCAATGCAGGGGCTCCCCAGGACTGGAGTGGAGTGCCTATGAACTCAAAGGCCTGATGTGGGGTGTGAACCCACATCCTTAAGTCTCAGAGGCAGGAGTGCTTCCAACTGAGCCAGGGTAACACTAGTCAATGAATACCAGGGAGTCCTGACACTTCATGCATCTCTCGACTTTTATTCTTTGTAAGACTAAATATTGCTAAATATTCTTGATTTCCTTTTACTTGACTTGTCACCATTTTACAGCTACCAAGATTGGTGCATTTTAAATTCAAAGCTTGCTTTGTGTGGAAATTGTACTGCAAAGTTATGTCATCATTTTATGATGTGTTGTTAGCATTTCTTCAGAGCGCTGCAACGACAACAACAACTTACATTTATATAACGCCCTTCACGCAGGGCAATGTCCTGGAGCTCTACTGCAGCCCTAGACCCAGATTATATTACTTGCATACACACAGAAATGTTCTGCAGAGAAGGTGGTCATTCAGTCCATGGTATCTGGTGCATCGTATCTGTCACAATTGCCACTTTTTCTGTTTTTTTTAATTAATCTTACATATCAGCTCTTTCCCCATATGCCTTAATCTGTTTACCACTCTGGCATTTATCAAAAACTTGAATTATATAGTGCTCTTTATACAGGACAGCGTTTTGGAGTACTGCACAATGGTGGGGTTGAAAGCTGAGCAGTTTCCCTTTGAATTAAGCTATTAACCTATGAAACAGCCATAATACTCATTAATTGGCCATAAATATCAAACCTTAATGATCCTTTAAATTTCACTTTTTTGCTGACAATTTTGAGATTATGCCCCCTTATCACTGATTTCCCTAAACTCCTATGATCTAAACCTCGAGAGCTCTTCAGAGTCAGCATTCACATTAGCTTTCAACTGGGATCTAGATAAATGGCTAAAATGGAGTCAATTACAGGAGTATAGGGCAGGAAAATGGAACTGAAAGTATTGCTCTTAAAAGAGTCTGTACAGATATGATGGACCAAATGACTTTCTGTGCTGTAAATTTCTATGTAATAGATTCAAAGTAATATCATGATGACCCCAAAGTGGTAACAAACCCTTGCCTTTATGAAGCTCAAACATTATTATTGCTTGTATTCAGATATTCCTTTTCTTTGCTAATCTGTTAATATTTGTTGATATTCTATAGGCATGAACGTCCGTAATGGTACTGATGAAGATGTTGGTCGTCTGCAGAAGACATTCAAATCTTTGGGTTTTAATGTTCAAATTCATAATGACAAATCCTGTTCTGATATGTCTAAAACTTTGGTGGATGGTAAGTATTTGTCAGTGACTGTCAGTCTCGGAAGTTACTGGCAAGTTTATTTGGAATTATTTTGTCAAATTCACTGTATTTGTAAAGGCTGACATTTTTATAGGTTGAATCTGTCTGTAGTTGCCGCTTTGTGTTAGGCCAGCTGTGCGGATGCACAAATATGAGTCTAATTCAGTAGCTAACTCTAGTTACATTTCTGTTCTGTACTTAATTACTTATCTTAACACTATAAAAAAACTACTTGAATATTATTCTTCATTACGCTGTTCAACCTCTTATTCTCAAAATGATGTAATTTATTCAATAGCGCCTAATTTTATCATTTTTGCCTTTACAAACTTATCTGCTAAAACGTTTTTGCCCCCTGCAGACTTCACAAATCTGTGTTCATGAAATCAAAACTTTTGTTCAAATTGCTGACATTTGATCATTTGTGTATATATCTTGTTCTTAGTTTCCATGAAAGATCACACCGAAATGGCTAGCTTTGTCTGTGTAATTCTTAGCCATGGAGAAGAAGGTTTAATTTATGGAACTGATGGAGCTATTAAATTCAACGAGTTAATCAGAGTCTTTAAAGGGAACAACTGTAAAACATTGCTTGGCAAACCGAAAATGTTTTTTGTACAGGTATGAATGGAACAGAGGAACTATATGAACATTTGTATTAAATTGATCAAGACTGCATATATCTAGACAATTATGCACTTCTGATTTTTGTTTACTAATAATAAAACATAATATGTGAACCATGAGTTTGCAAACCTATATTATGTATTCCACCTTATAAATTAACCTTTTGAAGTTTCACTATAACTTGATACAGTTCAATAGATAACATAGTTTGAGAGTTGTACAAATTTACAGCACAGAAGAAGGCCATCATCTCCATACTCCAGCACTCACCTCACAAGCGAGAGACCTGGGGTTTGAAATGTTGGGCAAGTTTCCTTAATCCATATGTCTCTGTTTACCTAGCAGTAAGTAGGAACCCGGTTGTTAGTCGATTGGTGGATCATTTTTCTGGGGGGTAATAATTCCTTCAAAAAAAATTGGTCACTTCAATCCACAACTGTAAGACACTACTGTGTGCAATTGGCAATGAGACAATTGTGATCAATTCAACATTTTGGTGGTTTTAAGAGGTCCATTTATGAGAAGACTTGAGAAGACAATATCACCTACATTTACACAATAGCCGTGTAAATCTCTTTTCTCTTCAAGGTAGTTTGGAAAGTCATCCAGCAGCTTGAATTGTTTTATAATAATGTGCCCGGAAATTGTATTCATTTATATTTTCAGCCCCAAATTAATGCAGTTTTCACATTTTGCACAATCATATAACATGAATAGGGTGTTGAGTTGTGTTGCACTGTTTCACCAATGTTTCTCTTTTTAAAGGCTTGTCGTGGTAATGAATTTGATTCAGGTGTTGAGGTGGACAGTGTTGGAGAAGAAAATTCCTCACAAAAAATACCTATAGAAGCTGATTTCTTATACGTTTATTCTACAGCACCAGGTGAGTGAAAAGGAAGATTGAATCGTGTTATGGCGCTGAAATGGGCTTTATCCGTTACACATTACTACCATGCAAATCTCTGTTCAGTAATAAAAATATTCTTTAAGGAGCAATTCAAAACATTTTCAAGCACTTGAAATAAAGTCAATAGAAATGTTAAACCCTAATCTATGCATTAATAAGGCTTTTTGCTAGATCTGGACCTTTGGCCATCCTTAGTGAGATTTTCGATAGTCAGTCAGGTGCAACCTCAGGCCAAAAACAAACCTGGTTAAAAGCAGCAAAGTGCATTTACATAGCCTGCTTATTCTTTAATTTGAATTTGCCACTGATGGGCTGCCTCTAGCAACTGATTTTCTTCAGTTATCCTTGATTTGAGCTGCAGAATTACATCTTACAAGTTCACAAGAAAGGATCAGATAGAGAAGGCTGTTCTTGCTATTTGGTCTAATTCGTCTGGATTTCCACATGACTTCCTTCCCGTTATAACATCAAGCTATTTCGTAAATATTCTGGCCTCTATGTTCTGGTGGATTTCAGTCTGCAAAACCAGATCATTAATGTATACAAGGAAAAGAAGGTCCCATTACCAGTCCCTGAAACATCTCCTTAATTACCATCGCTATTTCAACCTAACTCCACTATTTCCTTCCTCATCTTTCTTCCTCAATCTGTAATATCCACCAATATCAGTTTGTAAAGGCAACATTATCAGTATATTTTATCTTCCTGATCTTCAATATATTGTACAAACTTAATTTAAGGGGCAATTATTATTATTAAAATGTTAGATGCAAAATATCTGTGATCAACACTAAACATTTATATAATCTAAATATATGTATCTGATATAACCTGCCATTTGGTTTAACAAAATGCTGAAAACAGTTGTATGAATTTTCATCTTTTCCAGGTTATTATTCTTGGCGAAATACATCCAAAGGCTCTTGGTTTATTGAATCTTTATGCCATGTGCTGAATACATATGGCAAGAAACTTGAGATCATGCAGATTCTTACCAAAGTCAACCACAAGGTGGCACTGGAATTTGAATCAGTCTCAGCACCAGAGTACAGCGGAATGAAGCAAATTCCTTGCATTATTTCTATGCTGACAAAAGAAGTGTATTTTAATCATTGAGACCTTTTTTGGTTCAGATTATTTTGATCACATGAGCAGATTCCACAATGAGTATCCAATATCTCTTCCAGGAATTAAAGAGCTCACTCGGGATTTAATTGAACTGATGCAGAAGTTTTGTTAGCAAAAATCAACTGGTTAGGTTTGAAATAGCCTACTCTTTACTAAAGTGTTCAATTAGAAGCAAAAGTTGATTGTAGTTTATAAAAGTCACCAGACCTGTATTGGTGAGAATTGCTAAATTAATGTCTAAACGGTAATGTGTATACCAAAAGTGCATTCTAGCAAAATGCATTTGAATATGCATAATGTGTGTTCAGATTCGAAGAATAATTTTGTGCCTCTGGCTATCTTGAATACACACGCTGTGCTGAAGAATACTAGTCTGCAGTTTCTTTACTAAACTTCTGAATGTGAATCTTAAACTCCCTTACATATTATCAGAAAGGTAAATGTATAGTCTGGTAACCTTTATGTGAGTGGAGCTAATAGACTAAATTTAAAGTTATAATTGATGATTGCTTTCTAGAGAAATGTTCATAATTTTTTACGTCACAAGCGAGATAAACTTTAATAACAAAACTTTTTCTAAGCCTGTGAAGGACTTGTTTAAACCTCATAAAATCTGAGCAATAGGGGAAAATGTGAATATTAATCAATGGACTTCAACCATAACGATCAGATTAATTTAAATTAATAATCTGCATGATTACATTGTTCAAATCTCACTTTAGGCATAAATAACTGGCTACTTTGCATTTTTCCTAAAAGCATATATAAAACTGAATATTAAAATACAATGTGAACTTTTTTTCTATTTTCAGACAACAAAAATTGTGTTTAAATCTCCCAGCTTGCAATATATAGTATTACTGTAGTTTTCAAATGTTCAGTGTAATGAATCAAGGTTATCAATTAATAAGCCATATTAAATAATAAGTTTTAAAGAACATATTGAACATTACAGGTTTTCAATGCTGGTAGGTTGACATATTGAAAGCCTTCTAGCAATCGACTACAGCACCAGCATGTTTCTCATGATTTGTGTGTTACAATTAGTTCTGCTGTACATTATTAAAGTTGTACTCTTTAATGACTAATTATATAAACTTAATCATTGATAATATGTTTACATGTTGACCACTGACTTTGCTTGTTTAGGTGCATATTTCTGCAATTGAGCTCTCTGAAAATGAACGTTATCAGATAAAATGTTTTTGAATATATTTTGGTCTTAAACCAAAGATGTCCTTTTTGGCTCGTGGTTGATTGTACAATTGTAGCTTTAGTGATTTTTATAAGTGATATCCAAAATAAACTTTTTAAAAAGAATGCGGATGAGTAGACGGCATCCTTCACCTGCATGGCCTCTATTCCCAAATAGTGAAAGTTACAGTTACAAATGTGATTAGACTGCTATTAGAAAATAATTGCAGATTTCAGTTGCACTGACTAGTTTGTAGCATGAGTTACTTATACATGGCTCAATGGTTCATGTTCATTAAGCTCAGATTTCTTTCTACAATATGCTATTAACTGAACACTTATCTCAAGTTATTCAGAAGGGTTCTGCTGTAGTGCTGCACTTTTTTCATAGCTGTTACAAAAGCATGTTAACTATTTTAAGCAGTTTTATATACAATTTTAAACTACGAATAAGATGCTTGGCATTTGAAATAACACCTTATGAGTCCTGCAGCTTAGTGGTCAATTAAACAGAAGTTAAAACACAGTTGTCAAGTTATACATAAAACATTATACCTTGTGGAGTCCTGTAGTTTAGTGGTTAGAGCACTCGCCTCACAAGCAAGAAGACCTGGGTTCGATTCCCAGGCAGGAAACATTGGGTAAGTTTCCTTACTTCCTTACTCCCCATGTCTCTATTCACATAACAGTAAATAGGAACCCGGTTGTTAGTTGATTGGTGGATTGCTTTTTTGGAGGTAATAATCCCTTCAAAAACAATTTTTAAAAAAATAATTTCATCACTCAATCCATGACTGTGGGACACTGCTGTGCGCAATTGGCTGCTGCGTTTCGCCCAGAAAATATACTGTCAATTCACCTTACAGTGTATTCTGTGATGCGCTTTGAGACGTCTCGAAGAAGTGATAAGGCGCTAACAACAACAAGATTACATTTGTACAGCACCTTTCACATCGGGAGGACGTCCCAAGGCACTGGACAGTGTACAGCATTTCAATATTAAATGCAAGGATTATTATATTAACATCTGGAATGGTTGATACAATGTTACATTGAAGTGTAGTGATATGAAAGCAACTACGGCAACACATCTATGGCAGTAACCTGACAAATGGCAACAAGATGAATGAACCATTTATTCCTTTTTTGGTGAACCATACTTGTATTTGGTTAAAGGAAGAGGCTAACCTTTCAAATGTTCTGATCATATTAGGATTGATAATTGCTACTTTATTGCAATTAAGATCAATACTTAATAGTATTACAGTAGTTAAAATGGCCTCCTTTGTAATTTTGATAGAAATGGACACTCTTGGAAGTTCAACCATTCTTTGTGTAATTCTTCATATCCACTTAATTGCTATTAAAATGAATGGATATGATCGGAATTGAGTGAAAGTTCTTGTGCTATGTGCAGCAACAGCAGCAACATAAACAAATGTCAACATCCTTTAGTCACTAAGTAAAATACGCCAATAAAATGTTTGGAAAATGGTGAAAGTATATTTAAAATTAATGAAATACCGTAGTCAAGATCAATTCTGAAGTAGTCAAAAGGTAAAGCATTTGTTAAAGGATTCTTTTATCCATGCTTTTGTTAACCTCCAAATGATTTTACAATAAATATTGGAATCCTGTCAAAAACTCATTAAATATTACCAAACCAGAATTACTGAATGTCAAACTTGTTCTTTCAAGAAACACAAAGCAAACCTGTAGCAGCAGGACAAAACAAGCACATTGCTAAGACTGTAATAGAGAAGCAGTCTCATTTGGGAAAAAAACTTTTGAAATCTAGGAAGTTCCTGCAATAAATTCCGATTCTCCATCACTGACACTGATGAGTAGAAACGTTAAAAGTATAATAAACTCTTTGGATGAGCAACTAACTGCTGAGCAAAATCTGCAATTGCTTAACAAACAATCAGTTCCCGTACCACTATATTAAACGGACTGTGACAAATAGCAAAGAACACGCATAAAAGAGAATTTTCAGTAGGAAAACATCGCTAGAATTAATGACACTTTACAGTGTGTATTTTGCATTGATTCAGTAGTGTTGAGAGGTTCCAAGAGAAGTATGCATTTCACATAGAACTGCCCAGCAAGTTGCACGTGTAGCAGCCAAATGAAGCATAATACGCAGGGGCCAGAGCTCAATAAGGCTCAGATATCCAGCACCCATACAAGGGGAGTGGTTGCACAAGGCTGGAGATATTGGGCTACCAGCATTTTAACTGGCACACTTGTGTCCAGTTTTCATTTTCCAGCACCTTGGGACGTACTGCCGATGTGAAAAGTGTAATATAAATAAATTTTTGGTTGCTGTTTGTTATTGTTATAGTAGGAAGGGCAGAAAAACTTAATTGCTATTAAGGAATTTGTAAATTAAAAAAAGTACAATTTTCCTGTAACAAACAATACAGTGAAATGTATTGTGGCTTTGAAGTATACCAAATGGAGCTGTTAAAGAAATAGGAATTATAAACATTCTCCAAAATGTGACAAAAGAAAAATATGCTAAGGGAAATAATGTTGGCCTTAAGGAAATTTTTTAGATAACTAACCAAAAACAACATATTTTGAGTGCAGGTGTTCTATGAAGACCTTTCTTTTCGACCGGGCCTTCGGTCACCTTCCATCCCCTCCCCCTGGCTTGGTCCCGGGATCCTAAACTGTAAAGCGCTCTGAGACCCCATCCCATGTAGAGGGCGCTATATAAATCCAAGTTGTTGTTGTTGAAGCCTTTTTTTTGGTCAGCTGGGTGTCTGACACGTGTGGAAACCCATCACCATGCCTACAACTATCCAAACCAAACTAAGAGTTCCATGCATGGAAGCCGCACTCTCCCTGGAGGGGCACATTCCTCAGGAGAGCCTTCAGCCACTCTGCCCCCAAACTCTGGGATTCCATCTCCAATCACTCCGCCTCGCCCCCTCCTTAGCCTCCTTCAAATCCTACCTCAAGACCCTCCTCTTCGACCATGCCATCGGCCACCACCCTTCCCCTCCCCTCCCTTCTCCCCCCCGACCCCAGCTCAGATCTGAAATGCTGTACACTGTCCAGCACCTTGGGTCGTCCTCCCGACATGAAAGGTGCTATACAAATGTAATCTTCTTGTTGTTGTTGTTTACCTAATTCTGGAAAGTATCAGGCATAGATTGGCAAGAGCCAAGGCTTGCCTCTCCACACACTCGACGCCCTTGCCCCCCTCACCTCCCGAAATGCCTCCTATTCCCGATCCTCACCCTGGTTCACCAGCCACCTCCGCTCGCTTAAGGGCCAGGTGCAGTCTGCCAAACACAATTGGCTCAAATCCGGCCTAACAGTCCACCGCCACATCTGGCTGGACCTCATCAAGACCTACCGCTCTCGCCTCAGCCAAATCAGCCTTCTATTCCAGGTTAATCCTGGAGGCGAAGGGCAACCCCAGGCTCCTGTTCTCCACTACCAACCGACTCCTCCACCCTCCCCGACATGCCTCGCAGATTCTTTCCTCTGACTCTCACTGCGAGAAAATGCTGGACTTCCTCGAATCCAAAATCGAGGGAATCCGCTCAGCTGCCACTGCCCTCCCAACTTCCACCCCCTCACTACCCCAACCCCACACAATTACCCATCCGATAATTACCCATCCCACCTTCCACACCTTTTAACCTGTCACACCCTCCTCTGTCTTCACCACCATATCCTCCATGAAGCCCACCACCTGCTCCCTGGACCCCTCCCTCTCCTTAAATCTCAGCTCCACCTCCTTGCCCCACTACTTGCCGATATTATTAACTCTCCCTGTCATGTGGCACTGTTCCTTCCCCCTCAAAACAGCCACTATCACCCCACCTTGAAGAAACCTTCCCCTTGACCCATCTCAGGTATTCAGCTACTGGCCTATTTCAAATCTCCCCTTCCTATCCAAGGTCCTTGAGAGAGCTGTTGCCTCCCAGCTTCGCTCTTTCCCTCCTCCCACTCCCTCCGTTAACCCCTCCAATCGGGTTTCTGTGCTGCCCACAGCATGGAAACTGCTCTGGTCAACGTCACAAACGACATCCTGACCATGTGTGACCAGGGCTCCCTCTGCCTCCTCATCCTCCTCGACCTCTCCACTGCCTTTGACACTGTGGACCACTCAATCTTCCTCCACCACCTCTCCTTCCACCTCAACCCTCAAGGTTCTGTCCTTGACTGGTTCAGGTCCAACCTTTCACACCACCTTCACTTTGTCGCAGCAAATGGTTTCTCCAGCCCCTGCGTGTGATGTTCCTACAGACTCTGTCCTCGGTCCCCTCCTCTTCACCCTCTACATGCTCCTCCTTGGTGACATCATTTGCAGACATGGTGCAAATTTCCACATGTATGTGGATGACACCCAACTCTATCTCTCTGCCTCCATCCTGAACTCCAGGACTACTGACCTCCTGACCGATTGCCTGTCTGACATCAGGTCCTGGACGAGGGTCGACTTTCTCCAACTCAACATCAGCAAGACCAAGACCCTCCTGATTGGCTTGCGCCAGCGCCTCCTCACCTCAGGAGCTGGCAGCATCAGCCTCCACGGCTGCACACTCAACCTCACTAAGCCAGTCAGGAACCTGGGTGTCTTGTCTGACCCTGAAATGTCCTTTCTCCCCCACATTCGTGTCATGACCGGCACTGCCTACATTGACCGCAACATTGCCAGACTCCGCCACTGCCTCACCCCTCAGGCTGCTGAAACCCTCACCCACTCATTCGTCACATCAAGCCTCGATTACGGGAACTCCCTCCTCATCGGCCTTCCCAACTCTTCCCTTCACAATCTGCAGATCTTCCAAAACTCTGCAGCTTGTGTACTCTCATGCACCAGGCTCCATGACCCCATCACTCCCACCCTCGCCCGATTCCACTGGCTCCCCGTCCCCAGAGGATTGAATTCAAGATCCTCACCCTCACTTTCAAGGCCATCCACATGGCCTTGCTCCCTCCTACCTCTCTGACCTGCTGACTCCCTACCAACCTGCCCGCTCCCTCCGTTCAGCGGGCTCCAATCTGCTCCATGTCTCCCACCCGACCCGCCTTCCATCAGTGGCCGGGCATTCAGCCTCTCTGCCCCCACACTCCAACCCATGGTCGCTTCACCTCGCTTC